TATTTATGTAGGATATAACCTGCGTGTGTGCCAAATTTTTATTTATAATGAATGGAAGCCGCTAAGGCTCCAAGTAGTAACAAACATACATACTTTCACATTTATCATAATAGTAAATAATAAGGATTCTGGATAATAAAACAATAACGGCGTAACTTTGCTCTCAATGAAACTGCTATCATATCTCTTTTAGGCTGCCGAGTAACGCATATAAACTTCGCGAAATAAACTAAATTAATCCCGTTACTCTCATTAATATAAATTATCAAATCTGTCCTAACGACTGTAACTTATGATCATGCCAACATTACAGACTATGCATGTAAAATTTTCTGTTACGGTAAAATTCATGAGTTTTTGTGCATTTTAGTAAAAAAGAAAAGAATATTGAAATAAGTTTAGTTTTATGCGATGTTGAATAACCATTTAGGATAAATAAAATGGATTCAATGGCATGCCAGCACGGTAAGCTCAACGTCTTGAGCACGTGTCGCAAAAAATGCTTGTATCTAAAATTTTTTTATGTTTTCGAGTATGTAGAGAGAGTTCTACAAAAAATGCTTATTCAAACTAATTGCGTGACGCAATTAGTTTGGTACCAATGTGGGAATAAATTTTGGAGTAAAAGAATCATCGGTCCATGGAAAGTGAAATCATTTAAGATATCTACTTTGCGTAGTACTAGGTTTGGAGTATATACATATGTCATTATACCCTATGCCTGAATTGATCTACTATGTGACCTTTGTCACGTGTCAAACGTGACATAAAATCAATTAATATTTAACAATCTCATTGAACTAAACGAGGGAACATTAACTTCGACCATAAGTAATTAATGTACAGCGTGTAGTCAAATGAAATTTGCATTGTAAATAATTGTAATTAACCGTCGTCCCGGCACAATTGCGCTAAATTAAATATTAATCAACGATATTGTAACTAGAACTAGGTATTTCATTAACGTATCATTTGATCCCTAGGGCGCTGGCGGGCGGATGATTTCATCAACGTTTATTGTGCCATTATTCCGCGACTTCAATCATTGTTTCACTAAGCTATTCGTTAGGGGTAGTTTCCTTTTTTATTGAGCTGCGACTAAGCTTGGCTTGCGTTAAAATAGCACGTGATGTAGTCGAGGGAACTGTGAGCAGATAACAACAAAGGTTTTAGTATAACGACCTCGATATAGGTTAGGTGAATAAACTACCCCTACTGGTGGATATGGATATAAAAATTTACAGCTATCTCTGCTAGTGATATTAGACTAGTGTGTAGGATAGATGTCAATGTACACAAAATTATAATAAGAGAAGGTCTCCGAACTGTACTTCTTGACTTCTATTGATGTCTAAGGCAACAACAACACACAACAAGGGTCAAAAATTACAACCGTAAGTTTCGACCCTTCTACTATCAAAACCAAATTTTTAAAAGCGATATTCGTAGGTACCTCATTTTTTATGGCAATACAACGTTAGCCGGGACAGCTAGTATTATATGAAATAATGTTTCATAAGAAATATGAGACTGCTTAACTCAGCACAGACGACGATACTTCTTCATTTCTCAATTTTGTCGGTTTATCCCCAACACCAATTAATGATCATGTTATATCAGTATGTCGCGGCATACACTGCCGAAATTGCGTGGTACTAAGTAAATAAATCATTGTTAATTCTGTTATCAATAATTTAGATGTAATCCGCGTTATTCGTTATTATCTTATCTGTCGCGAAGTTATGTGTGTGATACTACATATCGCTAACCGGTTAAAATTAATTGTAAAACTGATATTGATATTAAAAATCAGCTCCTGGTCGATTGTACTTATTATTATAATGGTAAAAATTCTTGTAAAAACTCAAAATTATACTAAAATCTAAAATGAATATGATTTGATGTTGGAATCTTAGAAATTCGATGGTATTGTTTTTTTATAAGATTGGAAAAGTAAATAATCTGATAGTGCTCACCGTTCATAAGCATAATCTGCTAGTGAATTATCCTTACATAGGTTAAATAGGTGTGTTATTCTATTATTATATTCACATTTTAGCGCAGAATTTGTATTCACAGTGGCTAATTTGCAATGTTCTGTATAAGTCGTTGGCTTCTATACAGGAAACAGCATACAAGCTGTTTAGATTTAAAGGGCTCTCTCTTTAATTTAAAGAGCTGCCATAGTAGGTATTGTAAGTATGGGTCTTATCTACTGTGAAATTGCTTAGATTAGTGTGTATGAGTGGTATAAAAAAAGAAAGATGCCGTGACTGAGAATCCTTTTATGAATAGGTGCTACAATTTCTGTCAGTATCGTTAATACATATACCAGTCGTATGGTTCTTGGCACTCTTACTGTATAAGAACAAGATATTAACTGTTACTTATTCATTAAGTAAGTAAGGATCGTCCTGAATATATTTCTATGTTTCCCGCAATGCCAATAGTTGGTTATTGGGAAAGTTAAAGATGTAGTGTTTTCGGCAAATATGGGATCGTGTTTATAGCTGACAGTCAAGGAGTTAACGGTTATAGCTTAGGTAACTGTTGTATTGGATACGAAAGATATTTCGTTTTATTTTATTTATTATATTATATATGATGCTAGTGATTTTCGCACTTAAACAGATACAAGTACGCTTTCGTATTTATAATATTTAGTATCAATAAACATTTAGTATGTCAATTAGGCAGACATATAATGCTGTATATATCTTGTCATGATCACACGACATTGATTTTAATTAAAATTATATTTAAGTAATCCAACAAATGTTTATTTGTTACTAATATAATAATAAGTCCTTATATATCATATTGTCGTCATAAACGTTATTATTTTTGTAATTCCAAAGTTTTTAATAGAATTTTCCTGTATGTTCATATATGTTTGAGTATATAAAGAAATATATTGTATAAAAGATACTTGTTATTTTAAATGTAATAAAATTATGCTCATTTAAATTGTGTGACAATTAATAAATAGTGAATTCAATATTGAATAACAGTAATGTCTTAAATTATGAAGGATTATTAATAGGTATATAATTATATGTATGATTATTAAGTTATGGTTAGTTATTCTTTGAAACTATCGGTGCGGTAGGTTCGTGGTTTGGACCTCACATACATTCAATGGTTGACCCCCCGATGTCAACATTTTAGGGGATGATTATCCCAATGGACTTTATAGTTATTGAGGGAGACTTTATAGTCTTCCCTTCCCGACATCTCTGCGTGCTACTATGAAAATTTTCTTCAATAAATAAATGAACTCCATGCATTTTTGTTCATAGGATACGATAAATAGTATCAACGTTTTATACTATTTAGATTTTCTTTAAACAACTTAGTTTTAGCAGTACATGTAACTGGTTATTCGATTTTGACCATAAAAAATAACAAATGATCTACGTTTGTTTAAAAAATGCAAGCGTATAAAAATGTAATTATAATGAATTTTCCGAATAACAAAAATAATAATACAGTTTTACAGTAGTAATAACAGAATAAGGGGAGTGGAGTGAATCGTAAATATTTACACCAAAATTTCTATTGAAAATATTGCTATCGCTCTTTGGTGGGGGGAGACTCAATATCTCTGAATAGAGGTAGAATGAATTCTGAAGAATACCTATGTATTAATTTTATTGCGTGGACTGACTCACTCCCCTTAAATACAATGTCTATGGCTTAGAACCTATGTATTTATCTTTAAAATTAAAATTAATCTAAATTTCTAATCAATTTCACCATAATACCTTAATGGATTACAATATAGTTCAATCAATACATAAAAGATCTGTATATTTTTGATAGAATAACGCGTAATGTGTTTAAAAGTATAAATGATTTAATTATCAATTATCTTAAAAATAAAATAACTATAACTAGTGTAGCACGTACCTACTCGTAAATCTTCTTCAAGAAATGCGCGTCATGCAATGAAAATCGCATTAGTTTTCTCTCCGTGGTAATGGAAACTGACAATCTAACCCATACCAAAAGTAATATTTTGACATTCTATATCGTGTACGTAAATGTATATTACGTGTACAAGAATATAATATTAAACTGAATATCGAGTCGTCGGCACTATCAGCATTATCACATTGTTATACTCCATCGATCTATCATTATATCTATCTATATATTCACATATTGTTTTTATTGGTATTATTATTTTCAACCAATTGTAGAAAGGAAGAAGTATATATTATATTGTAGCTACCACTGTCCAAGAAATAATTTATATCCATCTGTGCCATTGTTTAGCATCTTTAAATAAGCTAGTATGTAATTGTTACATAAGCTAGTATGTAATTGTTCAAACGCGTAAATGACGGGCCCTTTTGTAAAAGAAGAGAGAGAGATTTTTTTTGTGTTATATACGAGTACGGACATGTAGACCAATGAACAAAGCGCTATGTTTTGCAGTTTTTCATTCTAAGAAGTATTAAATTTAAAAGAACTCGTAAGCTTTTAGACTAATTCTGTTTTGCATATTACTTTATTCCATCAAATATTTGATTGTTTGAATGACTGTGACCACCTGTATTACCAAATATCTTTTAATTATGAGTATCCGGACGTTCACGTGAATTGTTTACAAATTTTCATCCTGTTGTTTGCGCTAGAGAAAGTTCGTTTTGTTTTCACTGGAGTGTGACTTGCCTTCGTTGTATTTAATTAAAGTTTATTAAGGAACATTTGGATTAATCTACTGTGTAATCTATTTGCGGAATCTAGTGTGGAATAATTCTAATTTGACAGGTGTGGAATTACTCCAGTTTTTAAACAGTGATATCTTAATTATTTACTAGTACGTAATTGTATTCTATTACACACAACAACAAAGTAGGTATATTCGGGTCTAACATTGAGATCTTGATTTAAATACATACAATGCCTCACTTCTGATAAAGATATGGGACCATCCATAAGTTCCGTGTAATACAAGAATAGATGTTATAAATCTTGTATTTTGTTTGTTTCAGATGTAGGTTACGACTACGTAGTAGATCAGCAGCCCATAGGCAAGATTCTCTTTCGCCTATTCTGTGAGAGGACTCGGCCTGACTACCATAAGTACAACAATTTCCTAGATGTGGTCAGTATATCATTTGTATATTAGTAGAATTAAATTACCTATATCATAACTTAAGTAAGGGAAAGGCTACTTACTTTATCAACATTGATTGAATTTGATTTTTTGTATAACATTAAAGAAGATGTCAGTATTATTGCGACAAAGACACTTTTATATAATAACTAACGGAACGGTACACCAGCTGACAGCCCACCTAACAGCAAAATGGTAACTGTTTTCCTTAATGGGTGATAATGGAATGGTACGGTATCGGTATATACTGGTAAGGCATCAGTGAAAGATGATAGGATGAACATGAAGTATAGAACGATCAGTTAGCCCATCCCAGTGAATTCACCAGGAATAAACTACGATGGTTTCCAGGAGGGACTGCCTAGAGGTTTACTTGACAGGGTACATTACTGGAGTCAATCGCTAGTGGTAGCAGTCATAAAACTTATCAGTATGTTAGTCACTACAAAGTGATTACACGATTGTCCGCAGGCGGAGAGGTACGAGGTGGAAGTGGACGAGTCCAGAGTGGCGCTCGCTGCTGAAGTGTTTGGACGCTACCTAAAGACTGAAGACGGCGAAGCAGTGACAGACGTCGTCAGTACACGTGTCATCGATGACGCCAGCGCACTACTTGAAGGTACTACTAGTTGGCTGAAGCAATAATTAAAAATATTGCACGGAATCAAAGTATGCGTGTGGCTTAGGATCGTTCATTATGATATTTGTAAGTTGTTAATTGGCACTATATTTAGCAGTATGATTATGACAAATGTGCCCTGAGATTGATGCTGTAATTTCTAAGTAGGTAGGTAAGTAATGATAATACTTATTGTATTAAACGTTTGGTTTGTTTCGCTAAATTATATAATGAATTATAATTAATTTAATAATGACAAATGATATAAAATATAATTGAATCATAATTTATATATAATACGTATAATATATGTATTATAAATAATATATTAATTTTTATTCAATAATATCTATACTGTTTGTTATCTTTACTTATTATTAATATTTTTATAGAAATTTTTTCCAGTTCTACATATCTTTGCAGATAATCATCGTTAATAATTTTTCATACATTCAATAAGCAATTTTAATTAACGTCTAATATTTTTAAAATAAAATATATAAAAATACCTTTTTAATAAATTCTACTGTACTTGAAGCATGAAGCAGTTTTGTTATAGTTCTATTAAGTAAAATAGTCAATACAGGCTGGAACACAATAAGATACATTTACTGATTATCTCTGTAGGGTTTGAGTAACTTAGAATTAAGATGGTTGCGAAAAAAAATATTGCGCATTATTTTTATAATATTAGTTTATTAGAAATGTACCTAACAACCGTGGTAGTTTGTGTTAAATAAAAGACTATTTCTGCATCAACGTTTACGTATGAACTGAAGGGAATTAACAAAGATTAATACTACCCTATACTAATATTTATAAATTTAGCCACAAAATAACAGTTTGTAATAATAATTTGCGATTTATGTTTTATATTATTGAAACAGTTGTTTGTCATATGATTTACTTAGTTCTGTTTATGATTTTGTATGTAGATGCGTGTACTTTACGATATGACGACTGGAATACCATGAACTTGATAACAGCAATGACAATGTCATGGTGTCATATATCTTGTCTGGACGATAATGAACCAGGCTAATATATAGTAATACAAATGGTTTGACCAATGGAGACAGGAAATTTTTATTTATACTGTTGGTTAGTATAATAATAATGAATATGTCACGATTACAAATACGCGAGTGCCAATCCTAAAACAGATACAAGGGCCTATCCGTATATTGTGTCACATGATATTCATGATTTTTTACTCCTATCCCCGTCCTTGTTACAGCTGCATTCCGGAGCTGGTCATTAGTGAGACTTACCCTTCTCTTATATGACGTTACATATTTTCCAATTGTGTCTGTGTGTAAAAACTCGTTAACAAAACAATTTAAACTTTATGTTTATACCGATAAAGTTGAAAATATATTTTAGTTTTCGTTAATAGTTCATATATTTTGATAATTATATGTATTAGATGAAATATGACGTCACCAAATTAAGGAGCTCTCGCCTCTTATTATACGTTATCAGCCCATTTAAGGCCCATGTGACGTATTTTATGGAGGTTATATATATGGGCACGTACCCAAACAGAATGTGTAAGTTATAGGGTCGCCAACATCCAATATTTATGAGATAAGAAACAGCAACATAAGGTAGATATAAAACTTTATGATTATCCCATATGTTATAAGCGGCATATAAATAGCTGCTGATTAAATGTATTATAGAGTGATTAAGTTTAATAAAATCAAGTTATAGAAAATACCTTTGATATATTTTTTTTATTTATTTAACTTCAATGCACACAATATACAAAATATAGTAAAGTACTCTTAGCCGTTTAATCTGTGTATTGACAGATCCGTGAGTTTCTCAGAACGAGTTCCACTTTATAAATAATTGCTGTTAACTATCTGTTTTTTGTGATAAAAACAACCTATATCCGTTTTCGGCTTTTTCTGATCTTCGCGTCTTTCTTTAACATTCGTTCAGCCATTTAGTCGTGAAAATATAACAAACACGTAGACGGGCACATTTTCACATTTAATATTAGGATGGACAAAACAGACTTTTCACGTTATGTTTGTATATATAATTAAAATATTTAGAATAGTACAAGTTATCCTACCTGTTATAGATAATCTATTGATAATATTAGATGATGTCTTCTCATAGTTTAAACGTGTTATGACCAATTGGTTTTCAATTTTCTACGGAACAAATCCATCATTATTGCTCAATCTATTAACTGAGGTAGACTGGGTAAATTCGTCTACCTGGGTATTTCTTTCTCATCTATTTCAGCCGGCAACAGCTTCCTTTGTAAACTTTCGTTTTTTTAATTGACGATAATGCTATGGTGCAACCGCCTGCGGTTATGGTTTACGCTGGCAGGACACCAGTGGAGGCTGATATGATAGGCACAGGGTCAGGTCAGTAAGTCTATTGCGACAAATTCACTAGGAATTTATCATGATGGTTTCCAGGAGGAAACGTGTGGAGGTCATTCTGATGGTATATTGCTAGCAATGGGGTCAACAGTCCACATTATTAACAATCCTTTCCCGCCATGTAACTTTGTTTGTATTAAAGATATGATCGCACATATACCATTTCACATAAAGATGTGATGTTATTGCTATATATATATATATATATATATGTATACATTAAAAAACCATTATCGTAACTTTCTTTTTCCTGAACATTCAAAAACATTAGGGCTAACATTATTCATTTAAATTAAATATAAAAAAAAGATTATTAATTATACATTCATATATGTTATATACATATATATATATATATATTTAGAATTATTGGTGGTTTCCTCCAATTTCTATAAAGGAAGTAGTTGTTATGTTATTAAAATCACGGATAAACTATGACTGCTGGTTTTTACAGTCACGGGTCTATAAACGTATATATATTTAAGTGTTTATTTCTGTATATGATCACCGGATGATGGAAATTCGACTATAATTAATTTTGTATGTAAATATATTGTGTGTAGTGTGTGTAACGTTTATATTTCTATTAGTAATATTAACATTATTTTATTAACTTCTGCACTCCTAAACACAAAATCTAAATTTCTGTCAGTCACAGTTGAGTTTTACTTCAAAAATTTCAGATATAATTAAAGATTTTCCTTTTGGTCTTCGGATACCAATATTTCACCAAATGAACATAACAGTCATATCTAGATTTTTCCCATCACATACTGATACTTTCATTAAAGTTGTACTAATTCTGTTGTTACAGGTGGTTCCAAAGACATATTCTCAGAATGCATACGATGCGTGAAGAACTTCTTAGCGGGGACTCCTTTCGCGGAGTTCGAGAGGTCCATGTACTTTCACCGGTATCTACAATGGAAATGGTTGGAAGCACAGCCCGTCACCCAGCACACCTTCAGGATGTACAGAGTTTTAGGAAAGGGTGGCTTCGGCGAGGTCTGCGCGTGTCAGGTGAACTTCATTCATTATTCGAAAATAATATTTTTTATTTAATATATTTTACGGCTCTGGATACAAGTCCTTTTTAGTCCAACTTAAAGTTTTACAATATAAATGACAAAATTATAAAGAACTGAATATCATCCTAAAAGTATCTATCTAATTTCCCCTTCCCTCTGGGCAAGAAGATGGGCATGTCCATGCTCCTAGCGTTCCTCATTTACATACATTAGTAAAAACGATTACATATACCACCAAAACACATAAAATACATTAATAATCGCTGAATGTTGTTGACTTAAACAAAAAGTGACTAGCCGGCACTTATCGCTGTCCATTATAACAAAAACATTAACATTCCAGGTACGCGCGACAGGTAAAATGTATGCGTGTAAGAAATTGGAAAAGAAGCGGATAAAAAAACGCAAGGGCGAAGCGATGGTACTCATAGAGAAACAGATACTGCAGCGCATCAACTCTAGGTTCGTGGTGAACCTCGCTTATGCGTACGAGACTAAGGACGCGCTGTGTTTAGTGCTCACTATCATGAATGGTACGTATCATATATACATATACAGCAATAATTGAACAGCGGCAGTCGTTAGAATCATGTATCGTGATGTCTTGGAACTCGCTTCCTAATCTATACATACATATAATAAAGTGTCCCCTGTCTGTACATAGAAGATGATATGTGAGAATTATTATTGGGGTACTTTATTCGAATATTTATATTAGCGTTTGTGCGCGATATTGTCAGATATGGCTTATTTTATTATGTTTATGAAATTTAGCATTCACGTAGCATTTGTAATAGGCTTATACTTACTTGTACCTTTTGGTCAATTTTATCGCGCGCAAAAGCGATTGCTAGGAAGTGTTTCTAAGAAAATGGTATTCTGGCTGAGGATTAATGGGTCGTGTGAATCAGGATGAGCATAAAAAGATTCCTGAATCATCATAATCTTTAGTATATGTATTATTATTAGTATTTTCGTAAAAATGCCCATATTTTAAAAGTGACTAAATTAGTCTTTATTTTTGAAGTGAGTACTTTACCCCAGAAGTGGCAGTATATAAAAGATGTATTCGAAATTCGGATTCATTATTAAATGTATATGCACCATGATAACTTCTATCTGCACCTTGCATATTATTTCTAGTAGTTAAAATCTCAGTTTTATCTGTTTGTTATTTACACTTAATATTTTATTATATCTGATACCTACTTATTTTTAATTAATAATTTTACATTTCACAACTGTCTGTGTCATTTTTATGATAATTATATTTTTACGTACTTTAAAAATAAATTGAATTTCTACTGAATATCCTTTTATGCGCAACATCAAAATAAAATCTTTTTTATTCACTGTGAGTCTCGTTTTTAAGGTCCTCGTATTTTATCTCTTCAAATGACTTCCTTTCCACCAACATAGGAATATTCTGCATTTTCACATTAAAGGTAACACTGCAATTAAATTTTTCATGACCTAAGTTTTCACGCCTAACTTTCCAAATCTGTCTACTTTGAATATAATAATGGCGTTGAAGTTTTCACGTTTCCAACATTCTAAAGCCATCTTGGAAAGTAACGATTCCTGGTTATTATTACCGTAATTTACCTGACGGCAAATTGTATTAAATACGTATTTACCTGGTATTTTCCTTAAAGGTGTTTTGCAGTACACAATTCATATCAATAATAATATACCATGATCCTACTTAATGGCGAGAAAAATAGTAGTAATTAATATACGTAAATAAGTAAATATAGAGTTGTAACATTGTCGTATTACAAACATATTAGTCGAACGCTTGACTATGGTTCAGACTTCATAATATATGTAGAATATCAGCACAAACCTCAGAATGTTTAAAATTAGATTTTGATCATTTATCTGAAATAAATTATGTTTATCTTTTTTGTAAAAGAACTACGTCTGTCTTCAACCCAAATTTCATTAAGTTCCGTTCAGCTGTTTATTTATTTATTAAAACTTCAATACACAAATAAAGATGCGTATGACGGACTTAACACCTTTTCTCACAGACATTTTCTTCCAGTCAAGCATTAGGCAAACAGAAATTCATGTATGTTTGGTCATGAAAAGAAACAAAACAGACAGACAGACAGAAACACTTTTGATAATGTTGGTATCAATTACTACAATATAGATACCTACTAGGTAAAAAAAGTTTGATACAAAAATATGTTATATGTAAAAAATAAATTGTATGTACTATGTTAGGTTGTCAGGATGTTGTATTTTATGCAGTTAGTTATATAGAAAAATGGTGGTTAATAAATTAAACCGCAACCATCTTTGTTGGCGAATTTAATTTAATTTTAGTTTATTACTAACTTATATTAAGGGAAATTCTGTTAAAAAAATATATTTCCTTATTGTCAGTATAGTCTTTTAGGTCACATTGTTTTTTTGTACATAATCTACCTATAAATATATAGCACTATGGCCATTACAGAATATATTTACGTCATTCGCTGTTCCTAAGGATAAAAGTATAAAGCTTATGTACTCAATAATTTCATTTCATAGTCATATTATCATAACTGTAACAGCCGTGTATGCGCAATATAACACATCCGTTTAATTATTATTTATATATACGGTACACCTGCTAGGAACATGATTGAGATAGGATGTAACAATGTTGATTACTTTGTTCTACGGTTAACCTTTAGGTGAACTCTATTTTACGCTTACGTTTTCTTAGGCTTCTCGTTTTAACCCAGTTTTGAGTAGTGGTTTATAATGCTGTCGGTTTATTTTCAGTTCTGAAACCTCACAATATTAATCTTAATAATATTATAAACGCGAAAATTGTGAGTATGGATGTTTGTTACTCTTTCATGCAAAAACTACGAAACGGATTTTGGTTAAACTTTACAGTAATGTAACTTATGTAGCATAATAACATATGGAACAAACTTCTTTATTGAAATTTAAAGCGGGTGAAACCGCGGCCACTGCTAGTATTGGATAATTGTAATTACAAATCGGCTTTAACAGTATCAAATCGATATCATATCGATAGAATAGTCGATAAATTGCAAAATTCTATGACTTGATTTATTTGACATAATTTAAGGTCTATCTTATACATTCTCGTATGTAATATATATATATATATATATATATATATATATATATAATAACAACCCCCTTCCCTCTCTACAATTAATATTTGTTCTTCTATCTAGGCGGCGATCTTAAATTTCACATCTATAACATGTGCGGCGCCGACACCGGGTTGGGGTTAGAGCGGTCAAGGTTCTATGCGGCGCAGGTCGCCTGTGGGCTCGAGCATTTGCACAAGATGGGTATCGTATACAGGTGCGTTTATACAATTTGTAACTGGAATGGTAACTGAATGGTAGGTAAGCTTAATGAAAAGTGGTAACTGACGAATATATATACATAATAAGCCACACGGACATCATGTCGTCTTAAAATGACGTTGAAATTCATAAGAATAAATTTGTCACATCGTTGTACGCTGTAATTTTACTAGCGTATCTTACCTTGCTAATTGTAATATTGCTTAAATAACTGCTTGGTGGCTAAAAAAAACTTTATTGAACATACATAAAGTCAAGGATAGAATATTTGAACTACAATATTTATTATATAGTGACCCTTTATTTCATTGCAGAGACTGCAAACCCGAGAATATACTGTTAGATGACGCGGGCCACGTTCGGATTTCGGATTTGGGGCTGGCGGTGGATGTGCCCATCGACGGCAGTGTTCGAGGTCGCGTTGGCACCGTCGGTTACATGGCCCCCGAGGTATTTCTATACTTAATCTACTACATGTTTCTTAGAACCTGTGACACCGGACCACTGGAATGTAAGTATAGTGTACGTAGTCTCGTCTTCGACCATTTAAAAATGTTTTATTATTTCGTCTTCTTTTCAAATAAATGTTGTACATGTTTATAATAATACAGATTCAGTTTTAAATTCCAACTTGAGAGAATAGAGTGACCACCAGCATATGCTATTGCAGAAGCAAAAAGTAGATCTGGATTGTATAAAATTATGTATTCTGGTATACTATACTTACATTAATATTTTTTGTATAGATACGTACAATTCACAATGCCCCTTTTGTTTCAATTATTTACTGCCGAACATGTGTGTAAGCGAGTTAGGTTATTATGATGTAAGTGTACATGTATATATAATACAAAAATGATCTATTTTTCTTAGGTGATAGACAACGAGAGATATACTTTTAGTCCGGATTGGTTTTCGTTCGGATGTCTAGTGTACGAGATGATCGAGGGTCGGGCGCCTTTCCGCGCGCGGAAGGAGAAGGTCAAGAGGGAAGAAGTCGATCGCAGAGTGAAGGTTAGTTGCTACACTCTGACGAAGCTTGTGACAACTATGCTTCTGATTAGTCTATTCACTTATTTCATTCATTAATATCTGTGTTAAAATAAGTACACAAATAAAATAATCAATTTGAAAATGAATCTTCACTGCAATTAAGAATTATGTTTGAAAGATGTGAAGATTTTACTTTTTATGGTAATTATTTGGCCTTTATGAAGTCACATAATATATTACGTAAGTCAATTTATTTACCTGACGCCCTGCACGTGACACAACAGGGATTTATATTATGTTTATTTATGAAGGGATTAAAAGTTTAGATTTAATTTTTCCTTATTTCAATTAAATTTTCGTAAAAATAGAGACACCTTATTCCCTTCGAGATGTTCAAAGATGGAACGGTACCTGTGAATAATTACACTTCAATACTCATCAATCAGACAGTCAACCTGACACGGTACATTGCTAGCGATGAGGTCATCAGTCCACATTACTAACAATTTCCTTTCCCCTTTAACCCTATGTTGCTGTGTGGCGGCGCAGCACGAGCAGGAGAAGTACTCGAGCAAGTTCAGCGAGTGTGCGCGGTCGCTGTGCGCGGGACTGCTGGCCAAGGGCCCGGCGGCGCGGCTCGGCTGCGGCGCGGGACGACGCGGGGCGGCGCGAGTCAAGCAGCACCGGTTCTTCGCCATGCTCAACTGGGCGCGCCTCGAGGCCGGCATGGTCGACGCGCCATTCGTGCCTGACGTGAGTTTACATCGCAGGTCTTAGACTCGATTTTACAAAGGGCCGTATATTAAATTTAGAATGTGTAGGCGGGCTAATACAATGTAAGTAGTGAATTATTATAAAAATTTATTTATATTTTACTTTAAAAATACTTTATTACACTTGTAACATTAAAAATTAAATGTTGTTATACAAAAATGTGATCAAGAGCGGGCTTATCTCTGAAAGAGATGATTCCAGCCAACCTAACGCTGTGACAGAGGTCACAGAGGTGGTAGTTAGCGTACAACGATAGTGCTCGAGTTTTAGTATAATAATTACAATATTCTTATGTATACTTTTAAAAACTAATATAGACTTAACTACTTACTAAAATATGGAACTAATTAGAAAACAATAATACATATTAAATATATTTAATAAATAAATGTTATGTTATAAATATAATGTTTATATTATAATATTTTTTTTTTGTTAATTCGCTAGAAGTTTAGCACGACGTTTTCAAGGGGTGATCCTATAGAGAATAACCTATTAGTGTATATATTAATAGTAATGGGACCACTAAGAGTCTCATTAACAAAACCAAGATGTCAGTGACTAATCTCTGTATAAGTACAAAATGATAATTTTATTCATGCATAATTTAAGAGCTACGCTCTTATCGATTGAGCTCTTGCCACTTTCCGCGATTTTCCATCATGCTTTTTAAATGTTGATACGATACGACTCTCATTTTGTCTTTAATTTGTTTGATGTAGCTGTGCCTTACAAACTAAAAATTGGTTAGAATTACACTTTCTCAAATTTGTGTTAAGTTTTAAAATTCAATCACTCATATCTCATATGCTCTAAAACCAAGGATTTATACATTACAGCCTCACGCAGTGTACGCTAAAGACGTATTAGACATCGAGCAGTTCTCAACGGTGAAAGGCGTGAATTTGGACGCGGGCGACGATACGTTCTATGGGAAATTTAACACGGGCTCCGTGAGCATACCCTGGCAGACGGAGATGATCGAGACCGGCTGCTTCACTGAGCTCAATGTGTTTTCTAGAGGTGAGCAAGCAAAGATCATACCGATATAAATACGAAATAATTGGCATTACAAACCAATATTTTACTTTACTTGAATACATGATCTTTAACACTTTTATTTTTGTCTAATAACGGAATAGTGCACCCGCCTGCGCTAATGGTTTCGCTGGTGCCTCACCAGTGGAAGATGATAAAATAAGCATGAAGCCAAGTCAGTTAGACCATCTTGACAAATTCTCCAAGAATTTATAATGATGGTTTCCAGGGGAACCGCGTGAATGTCAACGGGATATGGTACATTGCTAACAATGTGGACAACATTCAACATTAATAACAATGCCATTTACCTCGAACTTTAAAAGTTACATTAGTATATATACACATTTTCTTAAATATATTTTAGGTAAAATTATACCTAAAAAAATTATACTAAAACAAATTATAGTGCTAATAGCCGTACTGACTGGATTATAATTATGGCCAAACACTGAGACTATTATTGTTTGCGGTGGCTACATCACTAGTACAGAATTTAAGTTGTAATAAAATTTACACTTATTGTTAGTTTCATCCTTAATGTAGAATGTTGTTAGACTATTATAATTGTGGACGTCGATTTTGTTGGTATTACAGTAATATGTGAATGCATTTTATGGTATTTTTTTATCTCTAAATATACAGCGCTAATTGATATACGAAGACGAAAGTCAGTTATATTTATAAAACTGAATAACTTCCACCAAGAAACAATATCAGGAATTTCTAATTTTCAAATTAAAATGAACATGTAATTACAGTTTGTAAGAATGTTTAAGAATGAAGGTTTTTAGAAATTGTTTTACACTTTACATCTAAAATGTTAGTATAGTTAATGAATGCAAGACCCTCTATTCGTGTTACAAGTAACCTTTATTGTAATCTTGTTAGTGAATCAAGTTCATGTCTAAATGAAAATAAAGTACCTCTCACAATTTTTTATAGAACGTTATTATGAGTGTATCATGATTTGGTTACATGATTATAAAATGGTGTGATTGGTAATTATAGTAGTAAACTATAGTGATTCTTACTAATATTATGAACGCGAAAGTTTGTGAGTATGGATGGGTGGATTGTTACACTTTGTCTTATTCTGTATTGTGAAATGGGGGAACGGCCAAATTAATATTTACGTTTTTGTTGCCAGGCGAGGATGGCCGGGAGACACGCAGTGGAGACCTTCAACTGGCGCCGGACGCCGTTCCTGCAGACGAACCGCGCGGCTGCTTCGTGTTTGCTCGTCGGGTCAGTGACCATTTGTACTACTACTACTTTTACGACTATTATTTGTATGTAGTAGTGCCACACCTACAATCGAACCTCACAACGGTTTTATTTTCGCGCGTTTGTGTAATATCTATCTATACTCTAGTACATATTTTGTATTGTCACGCTCATGATCTCCCAGTCGTATCACAATCAGATTATAAGCTTCAAATAGGGTAGTGTATATGAGTGGTGATTGTGAGCAACGTTATCGATATAACGGCTGAAATCTGTGAATGAAAATGTGTGGTGACTCTGTTGATTGATATGGCTACATAATTTGACAACTGAAATTTAAATGATGTTTTTGCTCATGTTTTATTAGTCTACAAATTGGGCTAGTACTCACTTGAGTACTAGCCCAAAGAAATTTTTCTTTTTATTCCTTCTCACATGGTACATGAAAGAACATAAGACATGATACTCGGAGGGGCACCGCAATTACATTATAATAATGTAAAAACTATATACAATTACATTACAGTAATTAATTAAAGTTCATAATTAAACTACGTATGTTTGTCGTTCTCTATATTAGTATCTTTAAAGGCTTAGTGAATAATTTGCTGTATCATTTACAGGTGTTGTGCCCCCAAAAGAAGGTGCCACCGCGGCTGCGGCCCGTGCCCGTGCCCGAGCACCTGCTGCAGCCGACGTCGGCCGCCCCCGCCGCCCCCGCCGCCCCCGCACCGCAGCCCCCGCCCGCGGACGCCTCCGTCATGCTCAACAGCTGACCGTCAGATGCACAATAACGTCTTTGTATGTATACACGCCACTGGAGTCCCGCGCGCCCTCGGGGGTCTCGGAGTCCCGCGCCACACCGAGATCCGTCGCCCTGGGCCCATAACCTAACACGTTTAGAGGTACCGCTCTTACTGATTTTTACAACCTTTAGTCTGACTAGGCCCAGCTTTAGAGTTCTAGATCGGACCCGTTAAAGAATTTGAACGAAGCCACGAGTGGTCTGAAGGAAGTCGTCCGCAATTAAAACAGCTTTTAGCTAGCAGTGATTCTCTATGTACTGGGAAAATATTTGTAAGGTGTATCGCCTAAAGGCGTCCACAATAAAATCCTATTTTTGTTTCAGTCTGTGATTTAATGTTTAAATGTCACTAAATTAATAAAAAAATGAACGTATAGTCATAAAATATACAATTTAGTTATCAATTTGGTCACCTACCGATTACTTATAATTCATAAACACTAGACTATTTTTCTGTTTTTGGTTGTCAAATATGAAATGGAGTTACTTTTTGTGTATTATCAATAATTTTTAACTGACCAACGTTAATACTGACTAGGGAGAAAAGTTTCTTCATTTTTTACGGAACCCTAAAATAGACTGTTAAACTGAAAATTACTCTCAGATGGCAGCATCAATTCAATTCTACAAATTACTTTTTATAAAGTTTTCAAAAAGATTTTCGTTACTTTTTATTGTTCCTAAACAAAAGAGAGAACATGCATGATTTTTCGTTTTTCTGGAAGAATGGCATTCTATGGTAAAATTAAATGAATTTTTATTATGAGGATTTTTTACATTAGATTTTTAGAAATGTTTTTGCTATACATAATTTTTTTTATGAAATGTTGTCTACTTGATATATTGAAATAGAATTAGAAATATTTCTACTTGAAAATAGAGTCACGCACAATCTCGACTCACCGTTCATATAATCATGTTGATTCAAATTCAAATAGGTTTCATTGTTATGCTGTGTGTTGATTTTCTTTAAAGGATGTAATATTTCCTTACGTCAAATAAGACTGTTGCTGTATATCCTATTTAAAATACCTATTAGTTTTTTATACTGCGGAATTTACTTTGGTATACAGTGCATGCTATTTATGTTTTATATATAAACTACCATTAACAAACATGACAAATTATTGTCGTGCATGTTTTTCCCTTATATATGCATTTTACAATGATGAATGTAGAGAATTCAAACAGTGATGTAATATTATTGTGTGAATGTAAAAACTCGTTGTTTTTTTTTAATATCAACTAAAATCAGTATTTCGTCTGTATTGTACATATGTTAGCATTGAATTTATAATAAGTTGAAATTAATACGATAAGAAAAAGTCGATAACTACCAATTTTGCAAAGCCTCAAGTGAATAACATAATCACTCCCGGAACGCATCTGCAGCGAGGAATCTATGTGACTTTAACGCTACCACGTTCCATAATCACCAACATCTTACTATTAGACGTTACGGATCCTGGTTGCACGATTATAAGCAGTATGTACTGTTCTCAGGATACATTTTTCTTTGTGTTTGACGATTGGTAGATGGTCGTTTTCGACTTATACATTTATTGCTTTTGCTGCTCCATAATGCTTTCTGGATTGTTATAAACTCAGAGACTTAATAATATAGTTCCCGGTTGTTTTGGTTGAGATGGGGTAATCTGAGGTATCGTCAAACCTTCCCTATTGCCTTTTGTGTCACATCACAATCAGTGCATTTTAATAGCATTTTTTATTTGTTACATATGTATAATTTAATACAAACCTGTCAGTTGGTCACATTAAAAATTATTGCATTCAATTTGTTTAAAAATATTTGTATATGTATATTTTGTACAAAATTTATAATACGAAATATACATATTGATTAATAATGATCAAATTTTACCACGCGGGATTAGTAGGTATTTAACGAGAAAACAAGTTTTATAAGTTAAGTAAGTTGACTGAAGTGTATATTTTCTACGAGTATTTTACATTTTTCGCTCAAATTATTATGTGTATGTATCTGGTCGTTATTTATTCGGCGGCTTTGACTTAGTATTTAGATAAATCGATAAGCGTCCATTACAAAAGCATCGTCGCGATTTCCTGTTACGTTTTGAGATACTCCTTGGTTATCCAACGCTATATCAAATTTAAATAAGTACTTTAATTTGCTATTTGCTTACATTTTCAATTTAGTTATTTAGTCTAATAAGTTACACGGAATACCTAAATAAACCTTGACCACGTAAAAACAGATGTATATTTGATATAAGATTTACAAAGTTCTTGATATTTTTTTCGCAAAGATTGTCATTTGAGACGTCCATCTTCATCTGTCTGTGGTTAATTAGTTACAAACTTTGCAAATTTTCAAGGCGGGGTGAAGCTACTGGGAAAAAACATCAAATTCTAGAATTCTTTTGCCAGTTTGTCTGTCTTATTAGTAAGATTCTGTTACTGCACAAGCTCTCTAGTCATTATTAATTTTCATACAATATCATATGTATGAAAATTAATAATGAAGTTTGCAAGTTCAGTCTGAATTGGGTAACAATATAACTGTGTGTAAATTCATTATGTGCAAATATCACGCATATAAGTTATAATACTACACTGCTTTTTCCTTGTCTAATTTAGCATACATTTTTATCTTTATTTTAGCGCACAATTTTAACATGGCTAGTTACCTTTTAAAATAATGCATTAAAAATAGGATTTTGTGTATTTATTGAAACACCCTACATTTTTAAATTGATATATTTTTCGTACAATCTGCTTCAGAATATGTAATAATAATCGACGATGCATTTGTATTGGAATGGCCTGAATGTTTTCTGGAATTTAAAACATAATTCCATAATTTTCGCAGTAAATATGTTACTGTAAAAGTCCGTATATTTGTAACGTTTTTATTTATAAATCTTATACCTGTTATAAATATTGTACAGGGATTTACCAACGTGTAAGTCCTACTATTCAGTTGTTAAGAAATTAGTGGTAAAGTTCGAAATGAACATGGGTCCCAGAGCAGTTCGGATTTTTACTATTAAGAATAGGTAAATCCGAATTTTAATTGTAACATCTTAGGACTTAGGGATGTTCAGAGTTTTACAGTAACATATGAACGGTTAAAGTGGCAGAAGACGTTATGACTATAAATCACAGCCGCTGAATGCCCAACGACCTAACGAGTATTAAATGAACAAATTGTTTTTGTACTATTTATTCCTTTTCCTATAAATATTTGTGAATTTTTGAATGATATTATTTAAAGAATATAAATGTATAAAAGTACTTTATGTTTATTAGAAGGAAGTATAAGGCATGTTTTTATTACTCATTTTCTACATATTACATGTTAAAAATGTTAATTTCTTGACGATTTTATAAACAGTAAAATGTTCATTTTAAACTTTCGTGTTTAATATACATTATTTAAATTATTAACCGGGTCTTAACACGAATAATTTTATGGCAAATAAAGGTATTTACCTCTCTCGACGTTTCGACTAGGTTGCACTAGCCGTGGTCACGAGCTGACAGTCAGCTTTTATTATTCGTGTTAAGACCCGGTTAATAATTTAAATAAAGTAAAATGTTCTTATATACAAAATATAAAAAATAGGTGTATTAATTTATGTGAGGATTTCAGAAGATTTTCTTTGATAAACTTAAAATTGAAGGCACGAAAATTAAATACTAGTATTTGTAAAATATTGACTTGCACAGTTTAAAATAAAAACATTAGGTAACTGAGCAATAATAAGGAAACGAATTGTCTATGTATCTTTTTGTCTATGGTGTATAATGAATTTTTAAAAATCTATATGGTTTATGTCGAGTTATTAAAATATTATAAATTTATGTACTCCCAAAACGTCTGATGTAAGTGTAAGTAAGTTGTCATTATTTATTGTGAACCCCGCACAAAATGTCCGCAATCGCCATTTTTGTACATTGCCAATATCAAAAACATACTTCCATATTATATTAGTGTGTAAGTATTAATGCATTTGGATGTGTATCTTTACTTTTATTGTATTTTAATATTTCAAACGCCTATTATATTGTCTTTGAGCATTGCGGTGTTTTAAGTCAAAGGGTAACTTGTGTAAGATATAATGCTGTTGAACAAGAATATTTTTTTGATTCACTTTAGTCTATGGTTGAATGGATGTTGTTGTTTCATCATTTACGTCCATTCTAAATGAAATTGCCATGTAATATAAAGAAAATATATACAACTAATGTATTGACTGAATAGTAACGTCATTTAGGGCCTTTTTGAAGCTTCAAATTTTGTGGAATTAGGTCTGATCTATGTTCGGATGTTACTGAATCGGTAGTTGTTATTAAAGTGTGGTGCCGTATTAATATTAATAATTAAAATAGGTATGGTTTTATAATTACCTTCAGTGACTATCCGAACTTGGAGATTACGGCAATTTATTTAAGTGACCTTTCGCCTAAGAACATTGTTAATCGTGACGTCCTGTCATTCTATCAATTTAGTGTCTATATCACATATTGTATAAATTTTGATGTAGGAAGATGCGTGGCTACTACGTGGGCGTTGGCTTGGAAGCCGATCTAAATCCGTATCATCTGATATGTTGAAGCGTAAAGCCATAAAAGTATGTACGTATTCAGTCGAACATGTGAAAGTGCTTGTAACCTCAGCGACCTAACGTTTGCCACTCGTTAGGAGCATAAATATATAATTTTACAAGCATATTGAAGTGGTTTTTTCTATAGTAAAATATCATGGCGGACAAGGGGCCATAACCTGTTTAAAATTTTTGAACAAAATGATGTTCCAAAATCCGCCTTTGATCGCCGAAAATACATTTAAGCATTTAGAAAGTACTTGTCACCGAATTTTTGTATGAATTTACATATACATTGTTTATTATATTATTATAATAGACGGGCATATACCTGTATCATACTCACTGATGCATTTCGATTAAGTGTGTGGTGATATTGTGTCGTTCATACGCTGTGTCGATGGAACACTCTCTAACTGCAACGGCTTTTTATCAACTAATAGTATTATTTAAGTATTTTAATTTAATATAATTTTCTATTGCAGTAATTGTTGTACCTATATACACAATTACTGCTCGGGCTAATTGAGAAAATTAACTTTTTATTGCTCAGTCGTTACTTGCCTGATTTTTTTAATACAGGGTATTCTTAATTCGGCAATTGGTGTGTCTGACATTTACTTATGAATGAATTTGAATAATGCATAATTTGTAATGCTATAAATTAATTTATATGAGGCACGTTATATATGTGAACATTACTTTCATTGTAATTGTAATTAGTAAATAATTATAATCATTCGTGTTATTTAAACTACAGAACAGTATTATTTTAAGGATCCATAGTTAAGCCAGCTTGTAATGAGTATAATTTGGATATCTGTCCGTCCCGCTGTTTAAGGATATTATCTGTACTATACTAGAATTTTAGTAGTTTTAGTGCTATTTCATGATGCTTTAAACTAAAAAATATCCATCTTTAATTTTTTGACTAAGGAAAATCTATATTAAATCGCATCAAGATTATTGTAGCTACTTTTAAACACTAATATAAACAAATTGTTTACCAACTTAAGAACTATTAAGCACCGAAATGTGAAATGCAAAATAACTGTCAATACGCCCGTCTAGTGGGTGATCGGTGCCTTACAAAAACAGTCTTAAATTTATTGTTGCGACTATTTTTGTCTTTTGAATTTATTATTTCCTATTTCAGGCGCTAATTAGCTTGCATTGTAAGCTGTGTTAAGAGTGAGATAGGTAGGTGCAGAGAACTAAGGTGTCCAACCTTAGTCCTTCAAAATGGATGCGCATGAGTGCCATCAAAAGTGCCACGAGACGACGTGGTGTCCGTGGTGCTGTTCATTTATATTGTGGAAGCATCAGTGTGCGTGTTATCTTGTTTATCATTTCAGTGATATCTTTTACATAGTGCGGTATTGTTGAATATTCAATTTGTGCATAGTTCCATCGCATGGCTTGTGAAGGACACATTATATTGTAACGTATTATTACCACATGTCGCCGTTTACAATGTAACCGGTCCGGCTGTACGTAGCTTTAGTGTATTGTTAGCTTTTTGGAACGTTAGGCGTTATGCAGTATTTGGATGCAAATATTATTTAAGCGTATTCATAAATAAATTGACTCCGATATAGAGACTGACTTTTATTGATACTACCTATTTATATTGTTGAAGAACCTCTTGTATGTAGTAGGATCAGATATGTATTAGGAGTATACATATAAATGTTTTCAATTATAGAAAAGATTATAAAACGGTAAGTCCTGAAGTCATTGTTTTGCGTAATTTTTGTTATTATTATTATATCATACATGTTACCAATTTATGAAGAACTAAAATATCACCCCTGAGCCTATCTGGGTTTATAAACGGCAGACCTAAGTCGTATTAATAGGCTCCCGGGTTTGATTCTCGGTCAGTGAAACATCATAAAGTGAATATTAACAAAAGAATAATTCTAATTAACATTATAAATGAACATCCATAATGTTTTATGCTGTTAAATCATGGTCACATATCAGTCAAATATTAGACAATAGCAAACACTGAGCTACTGCTACTGTAATTCTTCAAGCAAATCACAAGTGTTAGTTATAACAATAAATTGTTTTATTTATTTATTAAAACATAATGTACAAATACATAAATAAAGGTGCATATGGCGGACTTAACACCACCAGGTAAATAAAATATGTGTATTTTAAAAAAACAACAATAGAAATCAACAGAATTTATTTGTAAATATACCTAACATCAGTCAAACATCAATTATCTAATAACATTCGATTAAAAATGCACCATAACGAAGTCTTTATTAATAAAATTGCAATAATCTCCATGCAACAGACTTACCACTAAATAATTAAAACGCCGAAAGTTTAATAAACTTACTTTAACTGTTAAATTGTTTTCTTTTTCATTCGAGCTAAAACCTATTTAAAAAAAAGACGAAACAATTAAAATGGTTCAATTCTGTGAGTCTCGCAAATTAAAACATGTTGATGGTACAATGAATGGCTAATAAGATCCAAAAGAACCATTGGATCGAATTCAGTATAAATAGTTTCTTTATATAATACGACATTATACATATAAGACAATTATATACCAATATTCTACAGAGGTAAACATTTTTTTGTACAATGTATCATCAGAAATTTACTGTATTGACTAAATTTACAAATGGAAACACTTTAAATGTTCTGCTACATTTCCCTCGTAAATTCTAGGGATATAGGCTGCCTTTGTATATAAAAGAGTAAAGCCGTCGAATAGTTATAGATTATAATCATACAGCCATGTGAGGCGCTGTAAGGGGAAGACTTTAATTTCATACCCTTTTGCACCTTACACAAATTAGGCATTAAATACTTAATTATATTTGAAACTGATATTTTTTTGTGCCAAATTCAGTTTAAAAACAGTTACTTGTCATTGAATAGCCCAAAACGAAATTTAGCCATAATCTTACATGTGTTTACTTTTAGTCCCAGTTAGGTTTATTTAGTAAGGGGCTTATGCAAAACTTTATCCTTTTGACTCTCTCTGTGATACCTTTGGCAGTGTTGTAGTGGTTGATAATTTAATTTGTTTTATATTGTTATAATAATAGGACGCATAAACTTAAAACTCTATATTCACGCAAAGCCCTTTACAGGGTAGACAGAAGTTCATAACTTAATAATATTAAATAAATTATTAATATAATAAATAACGTTATTACTAACAAAACAACAGATTTTAAAAACTTTTTTAATAATATCAAATTGATTATTTATTGAATAATAAAAATAACTCTAAAACTCAAACTGACGAAGATTTCGTGTAATACACAAACACAAAAAAATAAGTAGACACGAAAATGTACTCCATTTTGTATGAATAAAGTCAAGAATGACAAAAATTCGATTGCATATTTTATAATCTTCTACAGATTTTAATAATTTATAATGACGATTTACCACCTTAATTATATTAATGTTTTCTAACCTATGACACTTTCACAGTTACGACAAATCTAACGACAAATTTTTAAAAATTACATCATTCTCCTTGGTTGCGGGTTTAAAAATTGAGGTAACATCTATAATTCTCGATTCTCATTTGGGTTCATATATAAAGTTGTTAGTTTCAGACCAAAGGCGCAACCTATAATTATAAGTACAATGTTTACTGGCTTGCTCTAAAAAACTAATTCAAGTCACTCCTATTTAGCAATGAAGTAAAGCTGTATCCGATCTGGTTAAAATAATTGTTAGCATGACAAAATTCTATTGGAAAATGATTTAAATTCTATACACTTGCTTTTTTCTTGTGCACATCCTTCTTATCTGTATATATTCTTTGGAAAAGTACGAATTTACCACTTTGTATATTTTTCGTCTCATATATAGCTCCCTCGATCCTCCAAGATGGCGTCGTGCAATGTTGCCAATTTCTAGCATTTTTAGGAATTTGTAATTTGTCTAGCAACTTGCACATCATGTCTGGAATTATGGGCTGTAGGATTATACTACATATTCTCAGGGTTTCCATTGTTATGTGGAGAACAACATCCAGTTTCTTTTGGTTTTCCACCTGCTTACGAAGTTCCCAGGGTCGTTGTGTCTCAAAGAACAGGTTGGCTAAATGAAGCACGTGTATAACAGCGTCTACTGCTTTGTAGAACTGGTAATTTCTGTAGTAGTCGTAGCATATGTCTGTAGAAATATAAAATAAATTAATGTGTTAATTTGAATACCTGACAGTTACCAAGTAACAGTAATTGGGTACTTTAGCAAATACTTTAAGTAGTTTGAATACTCTGTTTTTCCATAACGTTTGTTATTTTATCCTCTTTCGCGATTACTTTCATGCATCCACAGCTGTTTTATAAATTTTGTCACTGCAACTATAGTATTGTTATTGCTTTAGTCTGCCTTAAGCATACTATAATAATACTATATTTAATTTATAAATATGTTTTTGTCATTAGACATTCCGGCATCGCTGTCTCATCCTATCATCTTTCACACAGTCCACCATCTCCTTTTAACTCTCTATCTTTAGTATAAGGTAATACGGCTACATATTCTGTAGGTATTTTAAGTAGTAACTCTAATGTAATTTAGAAGACTGACCGGGTAGTTTCTCTACTTGTAGTAGTAGCTGTGAGGTAACCTCTTCCTGGCTGCAGGCCATTAGCTCAGCGGCATGTAGGGCGGGAAACTCTTGGCGAGGGTTGAGCGTCGCGCCGCAACACCGACTAGCCAGATTACCTAGGGTGTCAGCCAGCTCGGAGTTTGCCACGTTTATTAGCTTTTTTTCGCTGTAGTCTGAAGAATAAAGACACACTCACTCAATAAGGTGGAGTTGTTAAGAAAAATATTTTTATAAATTTAATCTTTATTAGTATAATTTCATATTTATTTTAGCGAACTAAAATATAGCAATATTAATATTTAAATAGTAATTTAGAAAAATGTATTAACATTCAATTTGATTAGTTTAGTATATTTCTATTAGTTGTTACGTCATATCGAACCTTCATGAATTGATAAGTATAATAATAACGAACAGTTCGGAAAAGATAATTGCAACAATATGTTTTTTGGTAAAATATATTTTTAATAAAAAAAATCATGTCTGATTCGATAAAAATGTCTAAGACCGATATTAGTTAATTAAACAAATTATCTGGATACACTTTATGCTGAACTGGCCTTAGAACTAAATAGAGTAATAGTAATAGTGTCGCAATATATTCTAATACTCACTAGCGTCTGAAGCCATGGTCGCCTCCCTTAGCAACAAGTACCTCAGAGCGGAAGGCGACACTCCCGTTGACCTTGGACAGACGACATTCCCCAACGACTTAGACATCTTGCTGCCCTCTACGGTCCAGTGAGCATGGCACAGCAGCTTACGTGGTGGATGCCATTTAATGGCCATAAGGAACGCCGGCCAGTAGATACCGTGAAATCTGGCAAAGAATATTTGATAATAATCCGAAAATTTTAACTAAAATTCATAGCGTTAACAATATTATCTCATTGCACAAATATTGAGAGTGTAGCGGTTTCTATGTTGATTGTCACATGCCTTTTATCTTTCTAACAATTATATTTAAATTTTTTCTTAATTTATTCAAATGAGCAATGCTCAAGTTGCTTGCTCATTCCTTGTGTGATGAGTCTGCGTTCCGAATGAATGGTAGAATATACAAAAGTGCTTAAATTTAGTTTATTTGAATAAAGATTGCTTTTATTTCTTTTTCGAAAAAGAAAATCTGTTTTAACATTATAGACACTTAATACATGTATTTTTTCGTTCATGGGCTACGATAACTGTTTGCCATCAAATGAGCCATGTCGGTATGGTTGCAACCATGAATAAAAAAGTTAAATTGGAAGAACATACTTAAGAATATCTTTTCCCACGACTTGTACATCTGCCGGCCAAGGCCTTCCCCTGGCCATCATGTCATCAGTGTCTGGGTACCCTATTACAGTTAAGTAATTGATCAGAGCGTCCAGCCACACATATATGCTTTGATCCTTATCACCTGGTACCTGATCACAATACATATATTTAAAAAATATGAATAATGTATAGTAAATAGTAATCATACGAGTTCGTGCGAGTGCATTGTTTTGTATTCTTAATTAGAAATGTCGGTAATTTGTTTAAGTCAATAAATGATTGTTCTATAATTTTAACCAAAAACGATACATTTTCTACTCGTTACGTCTTCTTAAGCAATATTTTTCAAGAATGTGAAATCAAATTATTTTTTTCATATAGATCTACTATCACTCACTCACTGAGTCACGATAAAAATCTAGCTTAGTGCTTTTGAGCTAAAAAGTGACAAGAAACTGGACTCTTATTGTTTTCAGCTAAGTTTGTACATAATTACTAAAATACAGATTCATGTTTAATTTAGGAGAAGAGAGATCACCAGTTTGATTAGATTAGAATAAATATCTAAACATTACATATAATAGATTATTGATATATTATAATAAACTATAATAAAATGCATATTGACGTATATCGCGTAAGAAACTTCCGTACTAGGATTGCAAATGCACTGTGTCGCCTATTTATACTAACTTACACGTATGGCCCAATGCACTCTGGAAGAAGGTCTGCTGACTGATATATCTGGAAAATATGGTTCATTTTCTAGAAAATCTTGCAGTTGTTTCTGATATTTACTCGGAGTTATTACACCATCTGAAATTACGCAATAATACTGTTTTGACGGCCCAAAGTATTTTCAATAATGTGAGTGATTTTTTAAGTTTTTTACATGAAGTGAAACTAATTTCGTAATGAAGTTTAAATATAATAATTTTTGATTAACAAACCATTTTTAAGCCATTCCTGTAGGTGTGTCTTGAAGGCACTCAGCCTAAACATATAATTTGTTTCCTCTGTCCATTCTACTTTGTGATTTGACTCGACGGATACTTTTATCTGAGGGATAAACAAACAAGTATATTATTAAGTGACGTGACGTGATATTCAGTCAAATATTAAACAGGTAATATTTTATACGCATATTATTGTGTATGATAATTAATTGATTACGCATGGTGTTTCGTCGCGAACTTTCTAGATTAATTTTATCGTTAGTTTTTTTTTATATATACCCTCAATATCGATGTTTATTACTCGCAACGCTTAGCAATAGCAGTCGTACAAGCTGCCATGCACCACGCCCAGTTGTATCTGTGACTACGGCGCGAGTGTATGTCTATCGTTTCGAAAATTATCTCTGCATTCAACCTCACCTCACGTCTTCAAAGACCGGATCTACCGAAGGTGGATGTTCATCGAAGGCATTAGCAGAACAAGGTACGTGTGTGCATTATATTTGCTATTGTCAACGAGTTTTTAGAACATCGATTTATTCGTATACGTAATAGTCCCTATGTAGCATATAAGCCACCGCTATTTCGGATTGGTGCGAATGCTACATCTTTCTGGTGCCGAAACCCGGGACATTCCGCCTATTCGGGTTGTTGTGGTATTTTCTGGTTAAAGTGTAGGTTTTAATCTTACAGGCATATAATCGCTATAAAAGTAAATATATATATCGATATAAATATCCTGTGATCAATTTATACGCTCGTTTATACTACCGCACAGGTTAGGTATAAACCGTGTTCTTTGTGTTTACACAAATAGATAATTAATTTGTGTTTATTTTCTAATCGATACCTATCCTATCTTCACCCTACCTTCAAAGCTGTGTGAGCTCGAAAACCGGTATTTGTTCTATTATTCATCTAACAATTTATCGTATTTAATTTCTTTTTTTACTTATCATTTCCTATGAGTATATCTTACAATTATTATTTATCGTTTTATATTCACGCTCATACTCTAGAGATAGACCGAGGCGCTAACTAATTATAATTAATATTATAATATCACGCTTATTTTATTTCGGAGCGGACAAATTAATTAACTGTTTTATTTGGGATATTATAACAATTTTATTCACGCCTAGATTTTTATTGACAGAGACTTCAAAATCTTTTTTTTTTAATTTTATATCGTGTTTAATTAAATCGTGTTTTTTTTTTTTTTTTTATTAATTAACTCTTTTATATAATACAAATAATAATGTCACTTTTAACGAAGCACACTTCTCGTAAAGTAGGTACTTTGAAAAAATCGGAAATCTATCGATAATGATTATACTGTACAGGACTTAGCGTCATTGCGCAGAAAACGGACTATTGCTTATAAACGGTTGTCTAAGGCGTTGGAAATCGGTAAATTGGCTTTAAGTGATAATTCTCAGCTTGATTTGTTTTTATCATATCATCAGGAAGTTAAACAAATCGCATTAAACTTCGAAGACGCTCATTTTGTAATTATTCGTTTATTGGATGACGAGGAAATCGATGATAACGAAATACAAGAATCTTTTGATGATATATATTTTCAGGTGTTGTCAATACATCGTTCTTTAACTAAAAATGACTCGTCCCATATCCCAAAAGGCTCATCATCAAATATTCGTTTACCTAAACTCAGAATTACTCGGGCAATATTAAATTATTTCCCGAGTATATTGATACATATAACGCATTGATACATAATTCTACTTCTCTTTCGGATACCGAAAAGTTTCATTATTTGATATCTTCTCTGAGCGGCGATGCATTGGCTGTAGTGAAGACTTTTCCTATGTCTCACGAATATTATCGGGATGCGTATGAAGCACTTGTTGCCCGTTATAAGTGTAAACGGACCTTAGCTTTCACGTGTTGGAGAGATATTCTCAGTATCCACTTTAAATATACTAACGCCTATGAATTTCAAAAATCATTAGATCAGTTTGAGGAGAATTTAAGTATTTTAAAAACACTTGACTTGCCAACTGCACATTGGGATTTCGTTCTAGTTTATCACATTTTGTCGAAATTAGATAAAGACCTACGCCGAAGTTTTGAAGAAAAATACTCTGACATCGAATTACCATCATATGATCAATCTAAATGCGAAGCATTACTGCGCGATACTCATTTTTTGGACTTGCATCAAACAAATAAATCTTTTCTCAAAACCGGTACGCCTATGCAGTTTCAGCCCAAACGGATGAACGTGTCACATACACTTATCGCCGCAACTGATGCCACACCCGCTGACAACAAAAGCGGTTTGTACTATGCAAAATGTTCATATTGCAATGAGACACATTCTATATCATCATGTCCCGACTTCCTTCAAAAATCACTTGAGGAACGTATGAAAATTGCCAATGACAAACATTGGTGCTTTAATTGTCTGAAGCCCTCTCATCAATTAAAAAACTGTACTTCTATTTTCTCGTGCCGCACTTGCAAACGTAAACACCACACCTTACTCCATCGCGATAAAACTATCGAATCAAATCCTATCTCATCTTTGGTTTCAAGGTCTGAATCAAATACAACTGTATTACTGGCAACTGCAATCGTTCAGGTTAGAGATGCTTCAGGTAATCTGCAATCGTTTCGAGCCTTATTCGATACGGGAAGTCAAAGCAATTTCATAACGGAATCGGCCATGAATCAGTTAAAGCTAAAACCACGTCATTCAAACGTGAGCGTTTCTGGACTGGGAGAAGCAGAAACTTCTATAACTGGAGGTATCACGTGTTCCATAGCTACTAACGATCGTGTTGTATTTGATACTGACATGTACGTGATTCGAAAAATTTGCGGTGATCAACCAATCGCTCATTTAAATACATCAAATTGGTCACACATTCAATCGCTGCCGTTAGCCGATCCTGGTTTCGATATTCCAGGACCAATCGATATCTTGTTTGCTGCGAACGTATTTGTAGATTCGCTTCTCGATCAACACATCAAGGGTGGTGTTAATCAACCTACGGCGTTTAATTCTATTTTTGGGTGGTTACTGTTAGGTAAAACTTCATTGTCATCTCATACGCTTTTGCATTCAGTTCCAAATATAGATATCGATTTAAATTCTCTCGTTCAACGCTTCTGGGAGCTGGATTCCTTACCGTCTTCTTCAAGATTGACTCCAGACGACGAGTTATGCGAAAAGAAGTTTATTAATGATCACACTCGAGACATCTCTGGACGATACATGGTTCGCATCCCTTTCAAGGAAAATACGGAACCTATTTTTGAAGGTTCTCGAAATCTCGCTTTGCGAAGATTTTATGCAATCGAACGAAGACTTTCTCGAGATTCCAACTTGCGTTCTCAATACACATACTTTATGAGCGATTACATTGATAGTGGACACATGTCACTTGTCCCAGCAAACGAAGTAGGTTTAGGGAAATACTACATCCCTCATCATTGCGTTTTACGTCCTGATTCTACCACTACTCGTCTTCGAGTTGTTTTCGACGCTTCGGCAAAGGATTTAAATCATCGGTCCTTGAATGACACTCAACTCATCGGGCCTAAACTACAACCGAATATTGTATCAATTCTTTTGCATCTCCGGGAACATAAAATAGTTTTCATGGCTGACGCTCGACAAATGTATCGACAAATTCTTATATCCCCTGACACACTATCAACGCATTTTTTGGAGAAATACGCCGAATGAGACACTTCAAGAGTATCGTTTGAACACAGTCACTTATGGGCTTGCTTCGTCTCCATATCTCGCATGCCGTACTTTACGACAGTTGGCTAAAGACTGGGGAAACTCATACCCGCTTGCTAAACAAATCATTTTATCGGATATTTATATTGACGATGTTGCTACTGGATTTCAATCACTAGAAGCTGCTCAAGAAGCAAAATCACAACTCATTGCTCTTTTTAGTCATGGATGTTTTCAACTTAGGAAGTGGATAAGTAATGATATTTACTGTCGGATATTCCTAAAGAAGATTGTTTAATGGGTTCCGTATCGCTTGACAACACAGAAAGTGGCATTTTTAAGGTTTTAGGTCTCAAATGGGATCCCTCGTCTGACAGTTTCCTTTTTGAAATACAGTCTTTAGATCGACCATGTACCAAACGTTCGATTCTTGGCGAGCTTGCTCGTATTTTTGACCCCTTAGGCTTTCTTTCTCCTGTTACGATCCAAGCTAAATGCTTGATTCAGAAACTTTGGGTTCTCGGCGTCAGTTGGGACGAAACTCCACCTGTTGAAGTTGTTAACTTAATACCTATCGCGAGCAATTACCATTGTTAGGTGCACAAGATTCCACGGCGATTTACATGTACTGATGCGAGATCATGTGAACTGCACGGCTTCTGTGACAGTTCAGAGGCGGCTTATGGAGCAGTTATTTATCTACGTGTTTCTGATTCAAAAGGCAAAATCAATGTATTTCTTGTCTGTTCTAAAGCTCGTGTAGTACCTTTAAAACGTACCTCGTTACCTCGACTGGAACTCTGTGCAGCTGTACTTCTGTCGGACTTATATAAATTCGTACATGACGCGTCCATAATTAATATAAAAATTGATGCTACGTATTTTTGGTCTGACTCGACAGTCGTTCTTTCTTGGTTGCGCTCTCATTCTTCTCGTTGGGCCACGTTTGTAGCTAACCGTGTCAGTCATATTCAAGATATTACACCTGCTGAATGTTGGCACCATGTGTCCTGGAGATAATCCAGCGGACATATGTTCCCGTGGACAGTTTCCCAGTGAAATTGTCGGCAATGAGTTATGGTGGGCGGGACCTTCATGGTTATCGAAGGATTACACATTCTGGCCTCCTTCATCAATTACAATAACATATGAAGATAAAAGTGTTATGGAAACTGAAACACGAAAATCCATTGCTTTAACGTCAAACACTATCATTGATCCTACAAAGTCTGAAGATATAATCAATAGCTCGCTAAATCGTTTCTCATCATTGTCAAAACTTATTAACGTTTTTACCTATATTTATCGATTTATCAATAATACTCGCAATCCTAATCAGGCCAATCGTAATTGTTACCTGAATAACGTCGAAAGACATAATGCATTAATGCGTATTGTTAAACACGTACAAAATGAATCGTTTGTTAATGAAATTTTATGCCTTAAATCTCAAAAATCGTTACCTAAACCGTTTCGGAAACTCAATCCGTTTATCGATAATCAAGGTATCCTCAGGGTGGGCGGAAGAATATCGCGATCTGGTTTAGAATATGAACAAAGACACCCTGCTTTTCTACCATCCAATCATCAGTTAACGTCATTGATTATAGATTTTATCCATCGTAACTATTTACATCCAGGTATAAATACTACAAATTTTTTATTACTGCAACAGTTTTGGATCGTTTCCGCAAAACGTATCATACGTCGTCAATTAGCGAAATGTATACAATGTTACCGAACTAATCCACGACCTCTACAACCTTTTATGAGCAATCTTCCATCTTACCGTGTTAACCAAGTGAAACCCTTCTCGGTCGTCGGTGTGGATTTTGGTGGGCCTTTTAGAATAAAGCTTGGTTCTCATCGGGGTGCTAAGATAGATAAAGCATATCTCTGCTTGTTTATCTGTCTGGCCACTAAAGCGGTACACCTCGAGGTGGTGTCGACACTCTCTACTGAAGGCTTTGTAGCTGCTTTGCGTCGTTTCATAGGACGTCGTGGTAGATGTAATGTAATACATGCGGATTGTGGTACTAATTTCGTTGGTGCTAGAAACCAATTGTCAACTTTAATGGAGCAAGCGTCTAGTGCACAAAAAATTGAATTCAAATTCAATCCACCATCAGCTCCGCACTTCGGCGGGGTGTGGGAGATTCAAATTCGGGCAGCCAAATCTCATTTATATCGTGTGGTCGGTAATCAAGTTTTAACGTTCGAAGAGTTATCTACTCTTTTTATACAAATTGAATCAGTATTGAATTCACGGCCACTATGTCCCATTAGCTCTGACCCTAACGATTTATCAGTTTTAACACCTGGACATTTTCTCACTTTAGAACCTCTAACAGCTGTTCCTGATGAAGATCTATCAAATACTAAAGTTACTCGGCTTCATCGATGGCAATTGTTACAATCTTTTCATCAACATTTTTGGTTCAGATGGAAGCACGAATATCTTAATTCTTTAACGCAACGAGCCAAATGGACCAAAAATTCTAAACCGTTAAGTATCGGTTCGATGGTGATTATCAAAGACGATAATCGTACTCCATTGCATTGGCCTCTAGCTCGAGTTGTTAATCTATTGCCAGGAGCCGACGGAATCGCTCGGATTGCCATAATCCGAACCGCGAACAATCATACAATGCAACGACCACTAGTTAAGTTATGTCCTTTACCTATAGAGGATTAACCAAAATCGTTGTCTTTTAGATTTCTTTTTTTATATCTTTATTTTATTTATAGTTATAGTTTCTTTCATCGTCATTTCGTTTCTAAGATGTCTGTTTAACAATGTTACATTTTTTTTTTTATTAACCAGAAAATACCATAGGCATTTTGGTAGGCGGGATGTTTCGTCGCGAACTTTCTAGATTAATTTTATCGTTAGTTTTTTTTTATATATACCCTCAATATCGATGTTTATTACTCGCAACGCTTAGCAATAGCAGTCGTACAAGCTGCCATGCACCACGCCCAGTTGTATCTGTGACTACGGCGCGAGTGTATGTCTATCGTTTCGAAAATTATCTCTGCATTCAACCTCACCTCACGTCTTCAAAGACCGGATCTACCGAAGGTGGATGTTCATCGAAGGCATTAGCAGAACAAGGTACGTGTGTGCATTATATTTGCTATTGTCAACGAGTTTTTTAGAACATCGATTTATTCGTATACGTAATAGTCCCTATGTAGCATAAAGCCACCGCTATTTCGGATTGGTGCGAATGCTACACATGGTTTTACTGCAAATTTATAGTAAACTTTAACACCATAAGTATTTTCTGTTCCTTCAAATAAAAAATATTTGTACCTGTACTGCCAAAATATAGGTACAAATATTAATTTAATTAATTTAATATTATTTATATATACTGACAATTTGCAATGTCTATTATACCTACTTGAAGTGTACTAACGAATTATAACTCACCTGTTCCCCATCTTTGATTTCATCTCTAATATGCGATTCAGGCACAAAGCTCTCATCATTCACGCTGTACCAGCCAGAGTATTTCGCTTTATATATATAATCCTTCTTTACTAACTTATTCTGTAAAACACAAATTACCAGAATAACTTATCTAAAAAGAGATGCCCTGTAATACGTCTTAAACAAGATCATATAACTCCATGGCAAGACAATATGAGCTCAGGCTCCATTTTTTTTATTTCTAAAGAAGATCGGTTGTATTTGAAAGTAAAGAAGTATGGTGTTCAACAAAGAGAAATGTGAGTTGTAATCGTCTTATTACTGTTTCTTCAGTGTCCCAGAGCAATCTATTAGTTAAGTATGTGCCACAAGTGCTCTCTAATACTAAGATGGATTGGTATCTTAGTTATCATTTTTTCTGTGGGAAATTAAAAAAAAAACCTTAAATATTGGCAATTACCCTGTTTTAAACGTGAATCCTGTCAGAATGAAATAACATATCTTTGTCAAAACAGATAGTACTGACCGAGTTCCAAGTCTCAGCGAAATGGATATTAGAATCTTTTACTCTGATTTTGCCCAGTCAGATTTAGCCAGAAACTGACGTTTAATAAATTAAATTTCTGTTAGAGAAATACCAGGCAATCATTGAATCTATATGTACCTACAGAATTGAAAGATTTTCCTCATAAAACAGTCGCAAACTTGTAATAAAGGAAAATATAATAACAATAGACTACAACAACGTATTTACCCCGTTCGTCGAATCAAGTATATTTTCCTGTCATTGCAATGTTTTTTGTAAATACTCAATAATCTGTGCTCTAAAAATATGACGACAATAACATTGAACTGCACATTCAAAACTCCTCTGCATAGGTACCTACATATATGTGTATGTTGTGTAAAACTTTAGAATTGATACTTCGTAAAATGGTTTAACATTTTAGTCATGTAATACTTTTACATCACTAAAATGTTAAACCATTATTATAATTTTTATATTGTCAAATTTAACCAAACACAAAACGACAACTTGTTGACAGGTATCATATTGATGATAAATATATAAATATATCTCCGTCTCGGTAGTCTAGCGGTATAGCACACCTTTACTTGCGATGGTCGCGCAAATATTTGTATTCATAAGTATGATTGTTTGTATCGGTCTGAGTATTTTCTATATACACACATCAAAAGTCTATACAACACATACAAATTTTAATTTTACAATATGTTTTCGCATTAAATACTTAGTATTTTCTTATTTATATTATTTTTTTATGCTTTTTTGGTATTAAACAACAATTTTTTTTGTTTAGTTTTAATAATCTTAATTAACAATAATTACGAGTAAGTTTGTACTACGCACATATTGTATGTACGTAGTACAAAGTAAGGTGCATAATCAGCTAAACTTAAACTAAAATTAAATGGTTGTACACAAATTGCATAAATTAATACAAAGTGTGGCCTCCTCTGTTATGGAAAACTTACTGGCACCGATTATTCATAGAATCGATGAGACTGTTAATGTTATCCTGCGGCAACTGCTCCCAATGAAATTTTAGTAAGTCCATCAGTTGTTGGGTTGTTGCCACTCCATCCAAGTCCTTTAAACACATCTCTGGAGCATGTTCCATGCATTCTCGATGGGGGAGAGGTCTGGCGATTGTGCAGGCCAAGGCAATACCAGGATGTTTCCCCTTGCCAAGCACTCCCTTGTGTGCAAAGCTGTATGCGAACGCGCATTGTCATGCATCAACGTGAAACCGGAGCCAAGCGTTTGTGCGAATGGACGGACATAGGGCCTTAGAACATCCTCAACGTAATTTACAGCGTTCATGTTACCATTTACAAAAACGAGCTCAGTTCGTCTGTTCTTCATAATACCCGCCCATTCCCTAATTGTTAAGCCGTTGTACGGATGCACTTCCTGAACGCACCTCAGTCTTTCAGTATTTCCGAGACGGTACACTCTTACCCTTCTAGTGTCAAGCTTGTACACAAATCAAGAGTCATCGCATAATAAATTTGTATCCCATTTTTCCTGGGTCCATGTAATGTGTTCCCTACTCCATTCAGTTTGACGAGCGCGATTCCCGTGACGTATTGGTGAGCACCTAATTGGCCGTCGTGCTGGTAGGCCATACTCATGCAGTCCATTTCGCACAGTTAGGCAGCTAACAACAACACCACTTGAATTTTGTAGCCTTAAACCTATCTCTTGGGCAGTTAACATCGGCTGGCGTCTTGCAGTCCGTTATATGTATCGATTTTGCCGTGTGGTTGTACACATTCCTCGACCTGGGTGCTGTTCAGCAGGATCTCCCGTGTTAGTGTAACGCTTCTGTTGACACCAAAATACTGAGATACCTGAGATTGACTTCTTCCTACTTGCAACATCCCTACAGCTCTTTGCATTTCATCTGCGATCAAATGAAGTCGCTCCATGACGAAAAAAATGTCTCAAAATCCAGATTTGTTCAAAACATTTTCAAATTATTGTTTAAATCATAAAATTACAGAATACTAAATTTTAATAAGCAAAGAAAACTGTATAAAATTCGAACAAATGCATTCGAATTTGTAAAAAAAAACAAATGATACTCGATTTTTTTGCGACCAGCCAGAATGTCCTCTAGATCAAAAATAGGTACAGGACAAGGTATTACCTACTAGGTAAGAAATTATATAATAACTTGAAATAGTATGTATTGCTTAGACTTTTTTGATGAGTGTATATTATTTAAGTATTTACAAAAAAAATATTTATATCAGTTGTCTATTAGCCATAAGCTAATATTAGCATTAAGCTCTGCTTAATGTGGAACTAGATAGCGTTGTATTAATGGTCCAATGTTATTTATTTAATAAGCATTGTATATTGTATATCATTCAGATTACAACATACCCAGAAATGTGCAACCGCCTTCTTGTGGCGCTCCTCAGTCGTCCTTATATAGTCTGTGTAACCCACTTCATATTCATTGAAAAGAGAACGATATTCATTGGAGATGTTCCCACAGTACTCTGATAGAGAGAGGTTCACCTTCGCAGCTGCCTGTTGTACTTTGGTGCCATGTTCATCTGTACCTAAAGAAAGTAATGCAATGTGTAATCTTACTAATATTCTTCTAAGAAAAAAAAAAGACAGCTAAGCTTAAGTAGTGTCACAAGTGAAAATACATTTCACAAATTATAACTAGTTGGGCTCACAACTTCATACCCCTATAACTTTCTTATTTGTAAACTAAGTGAGGTAAAACAATCACAATACTTTCAGTGAATCTAACCACAATACATTAGTGAAAACTGCAACCAAATCTATTAAGCCATTTCTTAGATTAACAAGCAAAAATGTACAGATTTCAATTGAATGTGGAAAATATTATAAATGGGTAACTATAAATTAGCAAAAAATAACAACAACAGAACAGCTGTAAATGGTAGAAGCCAGTAGAAGTTGCTAAAGGAGGCTAATAACAAGAAACAAACCACTAAAATAAAAAACATATTGAAATAAAAGATAGCTTTTTAGTTTAACTGCAATTGTAGCTATGAATATTAATCTTAATATACAGTGTTTCATAACTATTATATGTATCTAAACATAGCTATCATACAGACTTACTGTTAAATATAACATGAAAATATGTAATTATACTAAATGCAACTGTGGAACCTTGTCTGCTTAATTTCATTAATATTATTTACCTGTGCTGAATATAATATCATAGTCTGGGTTGACAAGCTTTTCAAATCTCTGGATTGCATCTGCCACCACGGCTGTGTACAAGTGTCCCAGATGTGGAGCTGTGAATAATGAATGTAATTAGTTCTAAGATGTAACATATAAGTAACAATTTACATGAGGGAGGGATTGTTAGTAATGTATTCCCAATAACCCCTATGTTATCCCTTAGTAACTATTATAGATGTCTGGTAAATTAATCAAAATAGGTAACTGATCTGACTTTATGCTAATCCTTTTATGCTCCAGTAGTACCCTATTTTATATACTGTATACATCTTGCATTTTCATGTCTTATCAATGTTCAATTTATAAGATACTAGTGTATCTTATAAGTTGAACATATGTAAAGTCTGAAGTATTCAATTGTCTTATTACTGTATATTTTCCAGAATATTGAATATTCAAATAGCATGATAACAAAAAATACAGCATTAGTATTTCTTCATCTTAGAGACAAATAACAAATTCACATGAAGATTACAGTATGGTAAATACAATGATAACCTAATCTTAATTTCAAATTAACATACTCTTGCAATATTGCTATAAAACTTTACAGAACTAATGAGATAAAAATATTATTATCTCAATGAAATATACTTTTATAGTCTTGTAAACAATATATAAAATGAATTACTTACCTGCATTGACATAGAATATAGGCGTAGTTATATAAAACGGTCTTTTCTGAACAACAGAAGAAAATAAACCTAAAGTTAATCTCATTTTATAATAAGAACTTTGTGCTATACAAAACTATAAAAAATACGTTAAGAGTATATTTTCAGAAATATATATCACGGACCCGACACTTAGCGCCAATTGAATAATTTTTATTTGTGGATCGTATCGTAATTAATTGGTGTTATCAATACCACGTTCCAAACAGATGATCATTTATTATTCTTGTCATATTAATATATATGTCATATTATATTCTTTGCTTAAAGGTGCCTTTATGTTCTTAATACCCACATTATATATTCAATTTAAGATTTATTTGTTTACAAAATTATGGACTGGTGACTTATCTCACTATATAATTCCACAGAACATCAAAAAACGCTTAGCCTGGTATAACACAAGTACACAAGTCTTTCACTAGCAACGTCAGGCATTGTTGTGAAATGAAAATAAAATGTGAGTTAATGTCTACTATCTGTCAATTTTGACAATTTCACTACCATAGAGTTAAAACTCTATGTGTGAGTATAAGAAGCACAGACACTCAATATTTCTTGTTTTTCTGTATTCTGTTAACTAATCAATCATCATTACCTATCATTCAGTTATGTTTTTGTGATTTTACTATTTCAAAAATTGCGATAGTATGTAAATACGGCGTATTAATTTATTTAATAGTGTCAAGTGATAATTTATTAATAAAAATGTCTCAAGGAAAAGTTGTTTTGATGGCTTGTGGAAGTTTTAGTCCACCAACTTATATGCATTTGCGCATGTTTGGTACGTGCTTATTTTTCAACATTTTTATTTGTATGTTAATAGGAAGGCTTCTAAAATTCCAAGCAATAATGTGAATATTAAAGGCCCTATAAATTCTCCTACGTTGATTGATTTTGGAAGTGCTTTTTTTTTGTTGATGACCGAGTCAATTTCGCCTGTGTTATTAGAAAAAAATTGCTGGGTAACAATGATGATCAAAGGACGAGGATGATATTTAGTTACCTCACTATAGTATATTCAATAAAAAAATACACTTCATTTACCACACTTGATTAGTGTATACCTAATCTAGTTATTCGCGGACGTGATTACGAATTTATTGTTTTTTTAATAATAATAATATTATATTTCCTGGTTTTTTTTTGGGACAGTGATAGGTGGGCTTTTCTCTGTCGGTCATCCTTTTTTTGTTATATGAAGACAAAGAGTATAAGTATAAATAAATACTAACAATTCTGTAATTCACTTTGGTGGGGCAGCAATGGAGAATAAGAGCTTGAACAGTATCCAGAAAGGACAAAACATTAGTTTGATAAGGTGCATACAACTTAGTATAGATTGCAATTATTTTTTTTACAGAAATTGCTAAAGATTACTTACACTCATTGGGTTTAGCTACCGTCATAGGAGGCATAGTATCACCAGTTCATGATGCCTATGGAAAAAAAGATTTAGTGGCTGCCCAACATAGGTAAGTTGGCATAATTTATTTATCTTTAAATTTTGTGTTAACTAAAGTGTTATCTAACATTTAGGTGATTAATTGATAATTTAAATTACTTATGTTTTTTGATGCTGCTTATAACAACTTTAACATTGGCATCATGTGGAGTTGACAATTGTGTTTCAGTCAAGATGTACAATTGTTGGTTTGATACTTGTATGATTGAATGATTGTATTCAATATTAAATTAAATTTTTGCCTAAACTTATTACACTGAAGTTTATAGCATTTACAAATTACTAGTGCCTTATTATGTGTACACTTAATAAGGCACTAGTACATGCACATTTATCTTCTATAAGCTTATTGCAAAAAATAAAACAGTAATTGACTCTCAGTTGAGTTCTTTTGATATTTTTGCATTATAATAATCAATAAATATACAGACAGAGAAACAAAGAATAAAATAAATTTATCTACATTTTGATCATTTCTTTAAACCATTAAGGTCATTTTATCTACTTAATTAATGATTCCATTTATTTTGGTGTCAATAATATTATTTGTTTTGTAATTATTTTGTAATTAAATAGTAATTAGATTATTGTTGATATTTAGAATAGCAATGTTAAAGCTGGCACTACGGTCATCATCATGGATTAAGATATCTGATTGGGAGACACAGCAGAATGGCTGGACCAGGACCCGAGTATCTTTACAATATCACCAGGTAAGAGTCCGTCGGACGGCCCATGCCGTCGACGTCGTCACGATAATTCAACTGAGTTGTCAGCACATCTGGTCTAATCGTCTAGTCCAATTTAAGTCAATAAGCAGTCTATTAATAATTTTATGTTATACTAGTTGTGCCCACAATTTATTGTACATTTGTAGCCGCTATATATTAAGTTAATTAACCGGACAACGACAATAAATAAAACATCAATATTATCTATTAAATAATTAATAAAATAATATCTTTGAAAACAAAAGGCAAAAGGTGGACTTAACACTTAACAAAAAGGCTAGTAGGGAGACAGAGTTAAAGATGGTATAATGACATCAATGTTTAATTTATTTTTCCATGGAAACATTTCAATTTAGCTATTGTGTTGTAAATAAAATGCAGTGTGACCAAGACTGAATTTATTATTAATGCACCCACATATATATGATATATACCCTCATAAATATTACAACATATTGTACTACATTTTTTTTTCGTAAAATTCCTTTTCTGGAATAAATCTGCCATTGTACCTTATATATACAAATAAATACTAAGTTTTATTGCACAAGAGTTTCTTTGTAATACTCATAATCAGAGTATTACAAAGAAACACACGGCTGACAATATATCTGGTTCTTTTAGGACACAATCAACCGACATGTAGCTACTATAGACGATTCTGACGGCCCTAACTGGCTGCCAGATGATATACTCAATGTGAACAACATCAATTGCGCAAACAGTATTGACGAGCCCGACAATTTAATGGAAAGACTGAATGGCAACCACAATGAACGCGTCACTGTGAAATTGCTGTGCGGCGCTGATTTGTTGGAGTCGTTTGCCACTCCTGGTCTGTGGTCGGATGAGGACGTGAGTATACATACTAAAATGTTTTTATAAAATACTATATTTGGAGAGAGGTGTGAACTCGTCTGCTGGTTTAGCATTCCGGCTCACATCGAACAGGCGTGATTTTTTATTTGGCCGACGTAAAAAAAATTTTGTTTATTTTGTATTTACATTTTTTATAGACGGTGATGGAAAGACCGACAGCAAACCAAAACTAATAAACTCAAGAGACGACGTCAGGATCAAATGTCCACGTTGGATTAAAATATACCGACGTTGGTAGTTGCCATTACTTCTGACTACCCAATCTGACATACATAACAGTCGGCAAATTATATTTATCTGTATTGAGGATGTATACCAGTATAAGGCATAACACATTTTTCCTTAGAAGTGGCGAAATGTCATGCGTTACTTATTGGTAATAAAATATACATTGTATCCAGGATGTGCTAGATATTATGGTAATAGATTTTATGTGCTGCGGTTGTAATTCCTCTAAATGACCTGCTCTTGGGGACTAAGTGGTAATGGCTGTTATGTTTGTCCTGTGTTACGTTGTCTAATGAATCTTCTCTATCCGACCTACCTTTTCTGTTTTTCGTTCTAAGATTGTAGAACTCTCTGTAGGAAGTCGCAGAAATCTACTATGATTTAAATCTACTATACTATACATTGATTTTTTTGGTATTTTGTTTACAATTAATGATATTTAATATGTTTTCAGTTGGAAACAATAGTGGGGCGTCATGGATTAGTAGTGGTATCTAGAGCGGGTAGCGACCCTGGCCGATTTATATACGAATCCGATATGCTTTATAAACACAGGGTAAGTAGATCTACATTAATGTTATAAATAAACAATGTGTGTAAGAGCAGGGTAATGTCGGAAAAAAACTTGCAAAATAATTAATTAGATCACATCCAGATGAATATAAGCTAGATGTTCGGTATTGTAAACTTAAGTGACGGCAGATTGAGGCCCTTGTTTTGTCGAAGTCACCGTTATATAATATGGAATATATATTGTAGACGGGAGTAATAACGTCAAGCTGAACGTACATCGATAACATTGTCATACAATCTTACCACCTTTTTTAATATTACTAAACACGGTGACGATGCTCGTCATCGTCACGTGATAATAAGCGATAACCTATAGACATAAACAACAATATAGCACATTTATAGGGTCGAAGATTTTGGTCCATCGTGCTGTTTTAGATTATAGCTTTTATTACCTAGACCAATATATAAGATCAATATATAAGAATGCTCACATTACTGCGTAATGACGTAGTATATGATTAACCTTCGCGGATGAGTCATTAATCTATTTCAGCCAAGCAGCTTGGATTATGTGTTTCGATTCAAAGGTGAGATACAGAGGTTACAGGAAAATTACAGAATAAGATGCATGACAGTCTTCCGAAATCGCATGTGTGGTATTTGGTACGAACGTCCTATTATATGGTGGTGTTATCAAGTGGGTTTATTATATATGTACTGCAGTACATATGACTTAAATATGATTAGTGTTAAAGGAAATGCTACTGATATTAAAAAATATTCTATGTTGTGAAAAATAACTTTGGCTACAGGCTCATGACTTAAATATGACAATGAATTTTAATATGCTTGACTCTATCATTTATCCTACAAAGAAATATTATTACAAAATTTCCTTAAAAGCCTAAATAAAATAAAAAAAATATTATTTAAATTATAATGTATTAAAGATTCATTTGATAATTTCAGAACAACGTGACTTTAGTGACGAATTACATCGTGAACGAGGTGAGCTCGACGGTCATCCGGCGGCTGGTTCGACGCGGTGAAAGCGCTAAGTACCTCACGGACGACGCAGTGCTCGCCTACTTGCGGAGTCACCGTCTCTATGGTGCCACCTCCTCACACACGTGAGTATCTTGTTATACAGGTTGGGGGATGGTAGACAGTGATGTATGAGTAACCGGTAGTAATGTATGAGTACAAGTAAACATGGGGTACACAATATTCTTTGAATCGCTACTTAACTAAGAATAGACTTTGCACTCTATTTACGTAGTATAAGGTAGTAGGTAGTAGCAGTAGCTATAAGGTCACAGTCAGAAAACGATAAATAATTTTTAATTATATTTAAAACAAGTGACAATACTTGTTTTATATATAATTTAATATTACTTATAGAAATTAAATTAAAGTTTTCACTATTGTATTATATACAACTAACATTAAAATAATTTATACAGTGAGAATATCTAACAAGGACTTTCTCTTCCACGCTTACATGGAAACAGTGAGTATAACATTCTTAATGACCTTATAGCCAACTATGACAAAAAATCACCTCAAGACGTCATAATGGCTTCCCCGGAAGAAGCTAGTTTCAAAAGCATACTAATATCTATCAGAGACAAACCATCAATTGTAGATGAGACAGTAACCGTAAAAAGAGCAAAGAAAACGAACTTTTTAATGCCAAACAGTCACACAGATTCAGTAAGCCCCATTATGGACACAATAAAACCTAAAATGGCATATGTAGACAAGGTACCGTCAACGTATGTACCTGGGAAAGCAGTAAAGATAGTCAGCGATGTGAATGAACATGTCATGAAGGATGAGAAGGTAAGTGTAGATGAGGCAACATATTCTTCTTTAGACAGCTATTTGAAGAAAGACGAAGGAGACTGGGATATTTATAAGAGGAGAGTAAGTGAGAGTAATGTTGAGCAGAGTCTAAACATTGATAACGTAGTAAAAAAACGTTGTTCATCAACTATAAGGAAATTAAAGCCGGATGAAATGAAGAAGAGTAAGTCTGAAGTAAGTAAGTTGTGTGATAAAGTAAAAAGCATTAAGCTGAAAGATAAAGATTCGAGGAATTATAAAACTAGGAGTTGTAATGATATTGTACGTCTGATTCTTACTAAACATGGAATACATGTTATAAGCGATACAGAAGCTATAGTATAGATTGATGTTATTTTTTTTGTATTTCTACTCATTTTTGTATTTGAAGACAAGTATTTTCATATTTGTAAGGAAAATATAGAAATACAGGTGTAACAATTTTACATTAGTAATTGTCTGTTCTTGTTTAAACAGCGAACACATTAACAATATTAAAATTATGAAACTTTGTATTCATGTTGTAGGATTTAACTGATACAAATCACTAATTATAAATTAGCCGTTATACTTCAAATTGCGTTGTTTAAAATATTAATGCAATTAAAAAGAAAACAATTAAGAATATCATTGCAATTTTGTATCTTCTAATGAAAATTGTAGTACCATACATAAATATATGTTCTGTATAAATAGTATTTACACAAATAATGGTGTTTGTCAAGACCTAGGTAGTAAGGTATGCTTGGTAATAATACAATCACATGTTGTATATGAAAAAATTGGTAGTGTATAATAAAAGTTATATTTGCCAAATTTTGCCAAAATATACAAGTAGCGAAGATGTAATAGTGTAAAAGTATATTGAGTATATTAAGATTACTATATATGTCAATTAGTATAGGATATATCCATAAACTAATTAATTATATTATTGTAGATATGCTTTTATATACTTCACATTTATCGGATTATTTAAAACTGAAAATATTGAAATTTTTATTGATAATATAATATGAAGTTATTGACTAAATTATTATGTGTGACTGTATACAATTTAAATATTAATGGATTCCTTTACTTAACTATATAAATTATAGAGGAATAACACTAAATTCATAAATAAAATGAAAAATTAAAAAAAAATATACTTAAAACTTACGTAGCTTATAAAAACATTAATGTTTAGCGCCTAGTTAGTTATAATAAATTTGCGCCATAAGTTAATCTGGAGAATCAGTCCATGTGGAGACTAATTTATCTTACTTAAAAGTAAATATAAACCCCAATACGCAGTCATAACCTGTGTGAAATATCAATTTAAATTATTTTGATAAAATTAATGAGCAAAATGTATTTATAAGATTTATATAAAATAAAATTATATAAAACACAGCGTCCTCAAAAGGTAGCTTATTAGCATTAACCCACATTGGTTCCTTGCAAAGTTGTTAATAATTTCCTAATTTACGAAAATATACATGGTAACTTGTTGACTTAATTGTGAAAACATTAATGTTCTTACTGGGGGTGTCACAAATATTTGGTTTCTATTCGGAAAACAAAACCTAAGTTAGACCAAACCATACATAGAACCAAAGAAAAACTAATGTAAAAAACGCATAATAATAATGGCTCTAAAACTATTTTTAAGAATAAATTATGGAGATATATTCTATGCGCAGTAAAACTTAAAAAAAACTGATTATTATACTCACATGGCTTATGGCTGAAATGTCGTGGATGCTCATGTCGCTAGTTATATTTTTTACATTATTAATAATAACACAGTTAGTAACTAAATCGTATATGTCTTCTCACAAGACACGGCGTAACACTTGCTAATTAAACAAATGTACTAAGAAAAGAAAGGAATGAGAATAAGATGAAGAGCCTAGCCAAATATTCGATAATCAATAAAATTACTATTCGTGACATCTCTAGTTCTTACTTATTGTAAGTTCTATCTGAGCTTCACACTCGGCCTACTGAAAAAAAATACATGCATATTAAAATTTTAACTGTACTCTAGTAGTGATATTGAGAGAATTTTGCAAATATTTAGAGCAATTTGAATGTTAATAATCGTTATCTAATGTATACCTATACCCTCTGTGATAGTATTTCGAAACTTTTATTAATACTCTAATAATACCAACTTACTTTTAAATCTTGTCTTTAATAATTGTATCGTACGCATAAAATAATTTAATACGATTTCTCGACATTTATGTATCTCGGCATGTACAGAAATTCTTTTAAGTATGATAAATAAATTTTATTGCGTTATTGGTTTGTTAAGTGTTGCGTAATATACCAGACCAACAAAAAAATATAGATGGAACACTATTAATTTATAAACTAAATGTATGTATGAGATAGAATGTGTTGCCATTATTAATACATACGTAATGAAATTATGAAAATAAATGATCATAGTTTATTCCTTGTAGATCAACACATTTTTTTTGCAATACTTATCTGGTTTGATTTAATTAATAAAATTTTCATGAAATTTCCGTTTATCCCTACTTTAGTCTGGAAAGTTTATTAAAAATTGATAAAATTATATTAGGAAACGGAATAATTATTTAAATTTGTTACTGACGTCGACTTTTTACTTGAGTATTGTGCGTATATTAGAATTTCCGTTATTTGTTTTATTAATTTTTATTTTGCGTGCTGTGCTTATTGGCTAATGGTAGTTATTTATAGCATTGCCCTCGATATTTTTTCAGACATTAGTATCCCAAAGTGTTGGAATATTTCTCTTCGTGTTATATTTTTGAGTCTGCACGAGATAACAAAAGTCTGAAAAAAATCTTACAAGGTCCTCGAATATTTATCTATCATTTGTAAATTCAATGCTTTGAATTAAACCTGTGTTTTCTGTCTTCCATATAAGTAATTTAAATAAATATAAGTAGTGATTGTGTTCTGGATTTAATCAACTTGATCGTGATTTGTTTAATTAAAATAATGTTGATATTGAAATAAAAAAATATACAACCTCCTTTAAAAATAATTAAACTCGTTATTCAATACTAAAATAGATACATATAAGAAAGATTTTGCCTTGAACGCAATTGATCAGACTTACAAGTATTTAATATTTATAAATACTGACGTGAGATAAATTACAAATCACGACCATGTTTTTTTATAGTACTGCTTTCATAATCGAATCTCGCGCATGTCATAAAATATCCTTAAGACTGAATAAAATAGATTTATGCAAGAAACCCCCACTTTATATGTGTAAAATAGTAAGCAAGTAGTTTATATCATCCAAGCTAGCCATCTATAACTGACTAAAGATGGAGAGCATTTGTTAGTAGTAATTGTTTATGATATACATCTTGGTAGTAGTAATTTTTGTATATTTTATTAGCTGGTGTAGTTAATTAAATAATTTTTGACAAGTAGTGTAATGTGTATACATGTATTACAAATATTTTGTGCATGGGCGTACCTAGATTCTAACCCAGGTTGGGCAGTCAGTTTTGATTCTGGACAAGAAGCAAGTCGTCTTTCCGTTTTTCCTAGTTCAGAGAGGGTGCATAGTATATTATAACGCATATAATTTTTAAGAAGGAGCAGCTAAGTCCCCTCACCCCATAGCTAATTTGATAATGTTCCAACCTGGGTATAAAGCGGTCACAAAAGATTTTTAATCGGTAATGAAGTATAATAGCTAATAATACTTATCTACATGGTTTCATCGTAACGGTATACCAAGCTATAAATCAGGAAATTGAAAATTTTCTCAATAAATAAAGTGAAATTGCGCGAACTGCTTTGTCATGTGTTTAATTTATTTTTAAAAATAATGTTTTCGGATTTCAATGTTCCTTTGTGGAAATGGTTCATTTTTATATTAAAAAATATATACTTTTCATCCTGGCTTATAGCTTTATATGTCCTTTATGATATTTGTAATATATTGTTGTTATTGTCTAACTAGTTCCTTCCACCCAATCCCTAATTCCTATTTTATTTTTAGTTGCTAATGTGGTGGTTGTATGCGTAGGGAAGCGGTTGCCCGTTGTAGCTGACGTGTTGCGCGAGAACCGACGGCCAGTCGCCATAGTGGGTCCCACGCGCTGCCATCTTGACGTTGACGTTTTTATTTTTAGTATTTAATAATTCGATTAACTGGAATCGAGGGGAAGTGTAAATAAAATTATTATCTATACATTTTATACATGTAACTAATCGCTGTCTATACGTATAATTAGTTTTATTTATTTTTATTGAGTTCCCGATAAATACAATTGTTTTAAAAAATCTTATTAAAAAGAAACCTAACGTGGTAAGATCCCGTGATTTTTCCTAATTATACGTATACATAATGACCGCATCAAATTTAAAACAGTATATAATCGCTGTCTGTACATAGTAGAAACAGCTAACATATTTGATTGTCATTCTTATTAATGTATGACAAGTTCTGCGGTAACCGTTTACCATCAGAGGGGCCGTATGCTTGTTTGCCACCTACACTACATGATATAAAAAAGTTGTCGTTCTTTTATCCCAATAGGGTTAGAAACAAAATTTATACAGAGACGAAGTCGCGGGCTTAATATTTTCTTAGTAAAGCGTATGGAGAACATATATGTAAATAAGTTTTTGTCCTCCATATAAAATGTTCCCGTGCATGAGTCTGTCATCGGTAGATATGACTAGCATGTATTTAACAGACTATATTATGTTTAGTATGTGGTTATTTTTGTCACGTTATCTATTTAAAGATTTACTTATTTCTCTTGAATACTCTTGAATACTACAGAATTTATTTACACTTTTTCTATGTGTGCCATATGTCCACCGTATAGTGAGATTAACAAATATTAATAGGAACGTCGTTTTTGTACTTAAAATACTTAGTGTACATACTTATTTAATTTGTAAATGTGCAATATTTTTAAAACGACGTAACAACGCAAGTGCAAATTTATACTTTAATGTGGACATACGGTAACTGTTTGCATTTAGTTTTGAAATATATCTAATAGTTTTTAGTAGTGACTTATATGTTGTTAAAAGTCTGCAAATACTTTTTCAGCGACGCCAATTGAAACGATTATATAAGACTAATGTAACAATTTATTTGGTATATTTCACGTATTTGAATCATTAATTTAATATTAATATCTTAAATTGGGACATTATCCGTCAGACATTCTATTGGCCATTCTGTTAAATTGTTTGCAGTAAACCATGTATGTATATAATTTACCATATTTTTTTAATTTCATAAATTTATAATTGTGAAACTCTATAGGCATGTATTAATCAATGCATACGTATTTAGGGGCATATTGGGCTACTAAATGTAGATAATCGTAATCTAGAATATCTATAAATCGATTTTAATTGTCAATATTTAAATATCCTGCATAGGAATAACATAGTGAGATCACTTTTCTGTATCAATTAGGATTATAATAGTGTAATAAGCCCCTTAAGTATCTGTAAGTATTTCAGGCAGATGCCAAAACAAGTTAATTTCGTGCTAAGCGAGTCTAAGGTGGCGTGTATAATAAAGCGAAGCCTGTTTCTCTATTAACGCCCCCCTTACTTCTATGCTTCTGTACAAATGTAGATTCTTAGTTTAGAGAAGACTCGTGTATATTTTTCTAATAAGTGGAGATATATTTTGTTATGTTATATAGGTACTAGTTTTATATATTGGTAATCTTTCTGAAATACAGACAGACATAGATACTTTCTTTAAAATGTTATGTGTGGATATGAGGTCTTGATCATCATTTTCTATTCTAAACTTTGTTATTTGTATGAAACCGCTTAATAAAAATTGCATGAATAATTGTTTGTTACTTATATTTTTAATTTAATCAATCGTCTTGTTGATTCAGTAATCATTCCTGCTTTTATTAGACTAGCTATGGGCCTCTTTCGTACTATTAGTTAGACTAATAATATAGTTGTTATTTTCAAACATATTAATTTAATATCTAATGTGTAAAGATGTATGTTGTCTGATATTCTTTTAAAAATAGAATATACATAGATACTGAGGTGGCTCCCATTATGTCATGAGTATATTTTAGTTGCTGTAAATGTAAAGTGGCATTTAGTGACACGTATGTATGGAGTATACTGTTGCCTGATTTAAATTTTTGTTAGATATAGATCTTTGATGCCTATTAGATTTTATGTTGTCTATTGTAATTGTTCTAAGTAATGTGATTCTTATATGATTTTTGTGATATTTATAAACTATCAAAGCTGCTAGTATATCAATTTCTTTCTAAAATTGAATTACCCTTGAATTATTATTTGATAGATAGATAATTTTTTTAATTATTATATTATTGTTACTATAAAACTTCGTTGATCTTAGCATATTCTTCTTGTGCATGCATGCTTATCGATGTTGTTATACCTACTAATAGTGTAACTATGTACTTATTAGAACGCGTTTTATCTCTGTTCTTTCATGGTGATGCTTTGCAAATGTCGATGAAAAACCTGCGGAATTATAAACATGCAGCCTAGGGCTGACCCTATAAAATATAAGTACTTGCTGCAATATAACTAACCATACCAAACTACTACTTGGTTTTAATCTAAGGAATTGTATGATCGTAAAATAAGACAAAACTCTAATATGTATCTTGAATATTAAAGTATTCAATCATTAATTATTATTATCTACTTATACTGATGCTGCATTTCTTAAATGCATTCAGAAAATTATAGTTTGTTTGACCTAAATATTTATTTTTTATTGTTTGTAAAATTCGTGTAATGTTACTGTATCTAGCTAAATAACTTTGCGAATTCGCACACAGGTCCATTACGTATACATAAATTCAGTTAGTTTTTGAAACTACATCTTGAATAATTTTAAGTAAGAATTAAGCAAATTGGATAAAATATTTTGGAGATAATAATGTGCTTTTTGGAGTTCTTAACTAGCGAAATAGCCACAGAGAATTTCTAATATGTAAATACAGCTTTTTGTGTAGTAGGTCACTTTAGGTATACTTATTTACTTCTGTTACTAAACTTTTGTATCAGTCAATGCAGTATTTAGGTACTGCTAATTAAAAGAAGTAGACAAATATTTATGTCTATGTGTCTACCTATTACCTACACGTATAGACTTGTATTATATATTGGCCTCATAATATCTATGGCGAGACGTGTACTTATGTGATTTTATATCTTGGAGCATTTATACATATTTAATATGTACTTACTTTAGGTTAAGGTTTTGACGTAATATGTGTTAGGTACATAAACTATAATCTCAGATATTTTAACTGGAATAAAATCAATAAATTCAGGGTTTAATCATGTTACGGTGAGTTAACTCTGAAAAACAAAACATAATTATAGATTAATAGACAACAGATTGACATGTAAATCCTACGTGACTGGTTTATCTTAGATTTAACAAATGCCTTTTCGCAAACTATGAATATATTCCAATGGGTTAAATATTCCAGCTCTTTGGCAAATCTAGAAAGCAAATCAGTCTGTCGTGTAGACCTTACTGGCCTATCCTAGAAGATATAAAACAACTAGATGTTATTGTCTGTCTGGTTATAAGGTTTTGAGATATATAATGATGAAATTCAGCAATATATTATGAATTTTATTAATGTAAAAATGTTGGAATTTATAGCCCAGTCGGATTTAGCCAGTCTGATTGTTCAGTTTTTTTTTGCTACAGATTATGTATCTTATATTATTCTTTAAACAGTCAAGTAAAAAACATTCTGAGTGAACCAAGAAAGTTTTTTACTTGACTGTTTAAAGAATAATATCAGATTGTCAGCCCTAACTTGAATGTCATTATTATTGTAGTTTTCATTAATCCAGTTAAAATTATCGGGTAGTATAACCATTTTGTAATCTGGAATGGGATAATGTTCCTTATACATCTGTTAAGGTTTCTGGGGTATAATGAATAGTTTTATTTTTATGACTATTAAGTAGCATTAGTAGTTAATTTATATAATTTATCAAATTACATATTAAATTTAAATGGGTTTAATAGAGAAATAATATATATGCTATTTTTAAGTTTAGATAAATGTAATTGGATACATTTTTATGAATCTGTGTAGGTAAATTTAATGTATCAATAATAGCGTTTCTTCAAAAATGTATGTTGTACGCATGGTTTGTGTGCGTGCATCTTATTCGCTGTGTTATGTAACCATGAACTTTGGCCGTTTTATTTATTTCAAGAAAATAAAATTGCGTGAAAGCCAGTATTCGTGTCATAGACTAAGTATTCACCACCTTTTAGCTAATGATGCATCATAATACTCAACTATATCCATTTGACAAACGCTATTGTAGCGTTTAATCGAAATATATGTCTATTACATATCCACAATAATCATATATTTATGAATTTCGACCTATACTATACTTTATTTGGTTGCACAGGAGAATTAATTCTTTAATATGATGGAAACAGCAAGTTTGCTTATAAAAATTGAATAGTGTCTGCTTGTAAAATTTTTATTATCAATAGAATTCATTCATTACATATTATATAACAATGTAATAAATAAATGAGCTTCTGAAATGCTTATTAAAACTTTATTTTCATAATTTGTTTTATTATCAACAATTTTATAACAATAGGATTGAAAATTTATACTTAATATTTGAAAGTGTGTGATTTACGTAAATTGTAACTAATTGGTACAAAAGAATATTATTAAATATTTATTTTTAAGTTACGTATAACTTCTTATTTACCTAAATTTACTACAAATAATAATTGTGTACAAGACATTACTCAAATTTCCGATTCTCTCAAAAGACAAAAACCAAATAAGTAGTTACGTAACACGTTTTTATAACTCCATTACAACTAAATAATAAATATGCATGAATTATGATTAAAAAAAGATTATAACAGTGTTATTTTTGGCAGAACAATTATAGATTAATACCAATAGGTATTTGATGCTTAAATAAATAAATCATATAAAAACTAAAATGAACTTTTAAATATTATTTTATTATATATAGAGCCATAGTGTAAATTCGAAATACATTCTCGAAATTTAAAAAAAATATCTTAGTGTTTATTATTGCCAAAGGCTATACCAGAATATGTTATTGCTATACAAAACGTCGCGCATCAAACTATAAAATCAGAATACGACTTCTCCTTCGACTAGCAGTTTATAAGAAACAACTCTCCATGAAACAAAAAGTACAGCTAAAAGTAAAAACACTGAAATCCACAGTTAAGACTTACAATGAAATTATTGACTAGTATTGCTTACAACTGTCATGTACTATTTATAAATTCTGGTTATAAATTTGCATAGAAACTGCCACTTAGTGTCTATGAACGAACATTTTGATGTGTATATTTAAAAATTGCATTTTGCGGGAATACTTCATAATGGACTATAATTACTGAATCTATTGTTTTGTTGTATCTATTGTATTTAGGGAAATATGTAATAAATAGAGTTAATAGGCACATTAGGCATTCTACACATTCCCTTTTAAATATGTATTTAACATGTTAAAGAGACAGATTTGTGATTGACAAAACAGGAAGAAAATAACTATCCTTAGACTGTTTCCTTATCCGTTTTGATCAATTTAAACATTAGTACTGTTTTATTTAATTATATAATCTCAGTCTTAACTACAATAATGATTACCTACATTAATGTTATGTTTTAAGTCAGTTCAGTATATTTAGAAAAAAATATTGTTTGAGGTGATTTAAAGATTACCCAATTGCTAAGTTTTATCACAGGATGTGCATCATATCGAGAGTATTGTAAGGTGTTTATTTCAGTTCAATTTAATTAGTTTTCGCTTTTACTGGGTCCGGGCATTGACACCATGGTGTTAGAGATTTATTACATAACAACTCTACATTTAATACTGTGATGGGCAGGCTATCTATTGTCACATTGTGTCTACCCCACAGCTTGTAGGCGACGTCGTGAACTCCTGTGACTCTGTCGCGGCGTCGGGTTACCTCACGCTGATTGTAGCATTTACGCATGTCACGTCTGCGATATGTTTTATCATGTATGTGCCTGAAAAATATAAAGGATAAAATTAAAATTAGAACAATAATGATTAAACTATGGTAATCTCAAACTATGTTATGCATGCAACTTAGTCACATGGGTATTAAGAAGGCTGCCGCTGCTGAAAAATTAAAGATGATAAGTTGTACATGACAAGTATTTTTACACACTCTTCGCAGTGAAACCTCTTTTAATGTATTATAGCTATGAAAATGAGTTGTAATTGAAAAGACACAAATTAGACTTATCTATCTATTGTACCTGTAATTTATTATATTTTATGTATATAGATTACAGGTGGAAACACAAACACTTCATTATGAGGTATAGACACAGATATTATATTTTATAATAATACTTATACATAGCCTTATACTGAACTTATGAATGGAATTTTCACTAAAACCAATTCAAATTTTTCAAAACTCAAATTCAAAATATCTTTATTCATGTAGGTCTATTACAGACTCTTTATGATATGTCAATCTACCATCAGTTCGGAATGATGATGATATTCTATACTCACTTAAAAGTATCCTTAGGTCCTGTATCAATGTTTTCTGGTCTCCTCACAATCAATCCAGCATCTTTTAATCTCACATAAAATTCATCATCTTCCAATCCCCATCCCCAATAATTATTTGACATTCCCTTCACTAATTCATAATGTTCATTTTTTATTAATAAAATACCTCCTATAAATGTGTCATAATGGTATTTTGGGTGTGTTTTTGGAGATGATATGTGACATGGTCCATTCTCAGGATAATCATATTTTAAATTATCATTCATTGGCAATAGGTCAACATCATGCATTGCAATGTAGTCGAAATCATTCTTTGTAAAAAGAAATCCTACATTTATAAGTGATGCTCTGTTGAAACGATTACTATCTTTTTGCTGAATGATGAATATATGAAATGGTATCTTCTGCTTGTTTAAGAAATTGTACATGTGTGGCACAAACTCCAGTAGCTCTTCGAAACGATCTCTGAATGGCACTAGTACAGCTAAGCGTTTTTTGTGCCAATTGTTTGAACCTACTTGATATTTAATAGGTTTAGGCAATGCTGGATAGTCTGCAAATTAAAAAGAATGTAGAAAGAATAAATTTGTGGGATAATACATTAGATTAATATGGAAAATTTCTGTTTCTTACCGGAATTAATTGGAAAAGATGCTAAATAGCATCCAATGATAAATGTTGCTCCTAAACATATCATGAGACATTTTGAGCAAGTGAGCCGGTAACCCATTGAATTGAAACTTTTTAATATTAAAGTTATGTCATTTAATCACAGTACTATATAGTATATTCATTATTTTCTTAGAAATATGATGTTCTAGTTATAAAAACATAATAAATATTGCTTAAAACTAGACACGGCAAAATGTTGATCATGACTGACATTGACATCTGACAGTTTGAATGATAGAAGTAAAACTTGTCAATCCCCTGGCTCGCTGTAATGGTTTATGGTATGTATTTAATAGAATATTATAGAATGAATTCAATTGAAATTCGATTTTCGCGCAGTAGAATATTGTACCATCGTTACGTGCAGTGGAATCTGTTCGTATATTAAGTAAATTAGTGCAGAGGTATATTGTAATTTATAAGAAATAAGTAGATATATTATAAAATATGAAAAACATTATTTTTATTTAGATTTTTTATATATAACAATGACAGTAAAGTTTGTTAATGTTTTGTAATGCCTAAATATTATCTCAATAACTTCTAATAATTTAGTCTTTAGTTAGATCTTGATAACAAGGCTTAAATAGTGACAGAAGTAAATTCTTTACTAAGTAGGTATTCAAACATATTTCTTAAATAAATAAAATAACATCAATTGTCTTATCATTGTCTTGTTAGTTACTATATTTCGCTTAATATTTTAAAAGCCTGATAGATATACCTATCCTTATTTTAAATGAGAACCGTAATTATTTTTAATTGGATGAATCACAAATTAAATTATGAAAATATTGTAGATATTACGTTGTACAAATTCAAAACACAGGAACACCTGACTTGTAAGGGTTTGGAATTTGTAGATACAGTAGACCATAATACATGACATTAAAGTTTATTCAAAACTCTATCACTAAGTATAAAGTACACTAGGTCATACACTAGACTTCATACCTACCTTATCATTTAGATATCTATAGAAGTTTTCAACAGCGAGGAAATTGGTCACATTGACCTGTTGCTGGCCCGCAGGCCATATTAACTAAGCACATTTTTTTATGAATATTATTGTTGAATGAATGCGTGAAGCAAGCTGAAATTGTGTTTTTGAAAATGAACAAGTAGGTAGGTACCTACCTAGTTAATTTAGAAACTATGTAGGTACTTACCTACCTACTTAGAAAATTAGAAGCATTAAGTATCGGTCCTTTAACTTCGCCTGGATGTTTTAAGAGCCATTTTTTATACCTTAAGTGGTATGTGTAGATAAATACGATAATATAGATAGATAGATAGATAGATATATCGTTTATTTGTTTGTTACTAGTCGCACACATAACATGTTCATAAGAATATAAAATACATAATACAACATAAGATTTATAAAATTGTGTTATTATGTGTGATCTGTAGCAATACAAAAAGGTCGAAGCTCAGCGTGGAACATTGTTCAGGGAACAAAACACTGATTTTCAGCTTTTACCCATTTGAGGGTACGTGAAAATAATAATTAAAATAAATATAAAATAAAAAGGAGCAATATTATAAGTAATTGTCTGTGCGGTGTGTTTATAATAAAAATAATGTAAATAGTTCAGAGTATAATTTGATATAATTTTAACTGAGTGGTAAGGATCAACAAAAAGAAAAAAAGAAAATATTAATAAGAGTAACATAGAAAAAAAAAATATTAAAAAACCATTACGTGAGATTACAACCGCTAGCCAAGAAATTTCTGTGGAATGCCTAAAATTTGTTTTTCTAATAAGTATTCTTTGTGATGTTTTTTAAAACTGTGTACGGTAGTGTAGTGTATATACCTACCTATATACCTATATATTTAATTATCTATTATATTTGACAATAGCCACATGACGTCCTGGTTTCAGTAATTTCTAATACGGAACCTCGAAAAGAGATCGAAAATATTAGGGATTGATTGACCTAACTACATGCAACCATAGTTAGGAAGGCATTAATTATTGTTAAACGTGATCGGTACCAAGTTTAGTCGTTGTTATTAAGCTAAATTTGTTTGAATTGCTAATTAGCCGTCGCTCAATGGCCGCCAAGCACGCCATATGGGGTCACGAAATATAAGGGGCTAATTATTGTAATACGTTATTGTGATTTGTTATTGTTTTATTGTTAGATATAGGGATAATTATGGGTTATGTATGAGGATAATTATTTCATAACACTATGAACATGGTAATGTACCTAGTACCTTTTCGTTGTAAGTGCCCAAGGTCTCGCGATTCATATGACCACTAGATATCTATCTAGTTTCTATTCCTTGGTTGTTGTTAATAATAAAAGATCTAGACCTAAAAAATGTGTCTTTTAAATTACTTTCCATTTAGGATTACGTGTAATGAAGTCAAGAAGTTGTATTGTGGTTAGGTAGGTGTACCTACACCGCGGTCAACCTGGAAACTGTTGTGATGAATTCGATGAGATATTTTTTACCAAGATATACTTTATTAAATCGTCTGCGTGGATGCCTACCTCTGTACATATCTATCTATAGGTACCAGTCGCCGAGCAGCTTGTTTCGTAAACTATGTTTCGGTTGAAGTGTGATTTAAGACATAAAATTACAGGATAAGGGGCATGATAGGTATCTTAGTTCTCCTGAATGAATGAATGAATGATATCGCGGGCGTCACGTGATTACATACGCAATGTCTGTAGCGCTGTTCATGTACCTACTAGGTATACACACATATATGCTATGGTTATCACTTACCATTAGATCAGATAAAACAGCAAGAGATATATAGATATACCAATGTTGCCGTAATGAAAATGGCATTAGGCGCCTGCCGCTGTCAAATTCATTTAATTGTTGAATGGCAATATTCCTCTTCACTCAATCTCGCAAAATGTCCATTACCTATAACAGTCAGTATCTTTTATGGGAATAGTTCCCCGAACCCTACTTCTAAATTAGACTAGGTATGACTTTACAATAAAATAAACCCATATAAGTCTCCAATAAAAAAATATCTGTTTCAAATTAATTCTAAGAAAAGAAGTCTTTCTCTAGTACCTAAGTACATACCTACACCTAAATAATATCTTAATTATCACAGCGTTCCTGCGTAACCCCAAATGCTACAATGAATAATAATTAACAATGTATAAATACTAAATAGTGGCCAGGCTCACGGCACGGAATGTCAACAATAAATATTAATTTAACGCACACTAACACACCACTTTCAGTACACAATGTACCACAAATTAATCGCCTAAACTTTTTATAACCACCTAATTACACGGTGTGCTCGGGCTCGGACGAGCGCGGTGTAAGCCAACATTATTAATACAGTCTTGGATGGTTTAAAGTTAACTGCTTGATGCTTGGTCGGTTTTACCGCACTGTGAGTTTAACTACAGCCTGCGGTTTCGTTCGCATGATATCTAACATGATCATTGCCGGAATAAAAATAGACCTATGCATGATTTTCTCATCATGCAAAGTTTTATAATAATTGGGGAGTAAAAACGTAACAACATATATGTAAGTAATATTAAAAATCATTCATATCTATTCGTTATAGGTAGGTAGCTAATATAGATAGATATCTATTTACTAATTTATACACAAACAAATATCTATTATTTTTATTTTTGTAGATATTTATATTCTATCACTTTGTTTTCGACTTACCTACGACGTAAAATGATTTGACGCCGTTTGGTAAAGTTTCTAATTTAGATATCACTATTTAACAGGTCAGCTTATTTGCGAATCCTGTTAGGTTTATAAGTTATAGGTGTTACTGTTATTTAGGAGTCTCGTCTTCGTTTTTCATATGTGCGACGAGACACTGATATTATTTGTTACAAAAATACTATTATGTTAGTATACTTGTAAAAAAATATGTGTTCACATTGTAAATCGACAAATGACCGTACCGGTAACTTTGGTCAAACAGCCATTGTGGGTTAAAAAATACGTTCCTTTCCATGCAGCAATACATCAACGTCTATAAGGAAAGATAAGTCCACTAAATACCGACTTTCAACGTTGAGTTACGTCTCAGTTAAAAGTAATTAAGAATAAGTAGTTAGACCTCGTAGTTTGGCATTTCTTTGTTTATTTTTCAAATAATAATTGACGGTTTCGAGTTGGCTGGGAGTAATTAAAGGAATTAACAAACAGAATAAGTAGGGGAATGTTGACTGGGTTATTTATATATAGCCCACGGCCTGGGCTTATTATAATGAGCGTTTTGTGGCTCGTCATATTATATGTACCATTAGAATTCCGTAGGTGAAGAGGTAATAATAACAACTAATGAATAGGAAGCAGCTTTGAAGGGTTATTTGCTTTATATTTATGAGGTAAAGAAGTTTTTTTTTATTGGAGTACCTATTGTCCATGCTCTTACCCATATCTACCTGTAGGTAATACTATGTTATTCCGTAGTATTACCTAAATAAAATAATATTTTATTTCATCTGTGGTAATGTTAATCAGGAGATAGGTAGAATGTAAGAATTAAATATTTGATAAATTACCTATTAACTCTTTAAAGTTTGTTGACTGGGAGTAATTTGAAACTTAGATACAATACAGAACACAGTGTATGTGTGTTTAAGTACATACACATATAAATTCAAATGTACCGGTCATCATAACCCTCCTTACTGCTTCGTTGTACTAGTCTTGTCGTATTAAGAGAGAATACAAAGACTATTTTTGTCTAAGTTTGGCTCTGGTTCTGAGCTCAGATGCATATCTACACCATAAAAATTCCTAATCTCTTCATTTTGTTATATACTATTAGACATCTACCTAGCAAGCAAGATTGCAAGATCAGGAAACTCCGACGGAATAGTATGGTAAATTTTCTTCGCGTAAATTTATCATAGACCACATACAGATTATAAATGCTGGTATTAACTTAATTTTTTAATTTCCTATAGACTGTTGGTTTTGCAACTCGTTTTACAATTTATAAAGTAACCTGATCGTTTATCGCTATATCGATTAATAAAAGCTCATAATTACTGTTCGTATGACTTGTTGACAAGTGAATATAAAATTATACTTGCAAATAATATAATACATTCTTGTTTAACATGCCAAGATGATAAAAAGTTGTTTCTCTGTAAGTGCTAGATGGTAGGTAGGTATAGGTAATTATTTATTTTATTTCAAGTGAATATAAGTTACTAATCGAATCT